AGCGACCCAGCGACCTTCTCAAATCAACATCAACCTTCAACATTTCTCAGATTATCAGCTTATTAGCTATAGATAAAAACAATCTGTAAAGTTAGTCAGACTTGTTGTAGCAGCTTCTACATTTCCTTTTGGTTTTTATTACACTGTATGCATAATTTTGGGCTGTAAACTGTCACAGTTTAAAGGGGTGGTCCACAGTGTATTTTTAAGGCTTGGTTGTGTTTATGGGATGTAAAGCAATGTGTGTTCATGCTTCATGTGTTGAAAATCACGTTATTTTTTATATACATCTTACTTTGAATTTATACAGCTACTCTGCTAACATGAAAACGACAAATTTCCTTGTTCCTCAGAAGACCCGCCCTCAAGAGGCTCTTATTGGTCAGCTAACATATTTCGTCGTGATTCGCAGATCAGCTACACATGGTTTTTAATGACCTTCTTGCTGTGAGGCGGCAGCACTACCTACTGCGCCACTGCTTCACCCACTACTTATGATATAAATTGTATACAGTCAAGCATGACATTTTTTATAATATATAATGTCTGTGTATGTATGTATACACACACAAATACATCTGGTGTCTTAATAATGTTTGACTGTATCCATATAATATTTCTTTTTTTTTTTAAATAGTTAGCCACTAACAGGGATACTTTAGACACACTTAGCTCCACTCATTTACCTGAACCAGGGTTGCCCAAACGTTTCTAATGAAGGGCCAAAAACCAAACTTGATTGAGGCTAGTGGGCCGAAGGTAATAATAGTTGCCATGGGTAATTTCCTAATTTATTTTGTATTGTTAAAAATGACTAGAAAACATTGCTTTATATTACCTAATATAGTTTTATTTTTCTTATTTTATAATGAATTTATTACAGTAAGAACAAAATAATCTCATTTTTAACAGCATTACACTAGTTTTAGCCATTATTTGCTTGCCAATGTCTTCTGCATGGTTCTCTCTCTGTCGAGTGGCGGTATTTACATTTCCAAAAAATCAGATTCATTTACAACATTTAATTGAAACATTTCAGTTCAGTTTATGTATTTTGCAGCTCAGCAATAAAACAAACAAAAAAGTTTACGTCAAGTTAGAAATAGCAATCTCTGTGCTAAAGGCATTCACAACCATCTCCATCATTCTCGCTGTCAGATGGCATGGTGGGCTAAGTCAAAGGTTATAATGCGCTGGGCCTACTTTGGGCATCTCCGTTTTTTATAAGCAAACTCAATGTTGAATATGTATACTATATAATAAAACATAATTTAAAAAAAGAATAGGTTTATTTCCCTTATATTGCTCGCATTTATTTGCAGTAAAGTGTTCTAAGGATATATATATATATATATATATATATATATATATATATATATATATATATATATATATATACAGTTGAAGTCAGAATTTTTAGTCCCCCTTTGATTTTTATTTTCTTTTTTTAAATATTTCCCATTTTCCAATTTTCACATTATGTCTGATAATATTTTTACTTTTGGAAAAAGTCTTATTTGTTTTATTTTGGCTAGAATTAAAAGCAGTTTTTAATTTTTTAAAAGCCATTTTAAAGACACAATTATTAGCCCCTTTAAGCTATATTTTTTCTGATAGTCTACAGAACAAACCATCATTATACAATAACTTGCCTAAATTACCCAAACCTGCCTAGTTACTCTAATTAACCTAGTTAAGCTTATAAATGTCACTTAATGCTGTATAGAAGTGTCTTAAAATAGCTAGTAAAATATTATTTACTGTCATCATGGCAAAGATAAAATAAATCAGTTATTAGAAATGAGTTATTAAAACTATTATGTTTAGAAATGTGTTAAAGAAATCTTTTCTCTGTTAAACAATTTTTTGAAAAAAAAAATGCTGCTAATAATTCAAGGGGGCTATTAATTCTGACTTCAACTGTATATATAGAACTAAATGAACATATGGGCAAACCCAACCACTGGGTTTTTATAGATTTTGAGTTTTTAAAATTTTTAACCCTACATCTATTTAATCTATGACTTGATCTATAACCCAACTTTAACCAACTTGTTGGGATTTCCATATTTTGGCTTGAAATAATCCAACATTTCTTGGATGTGATTGTATTCATTCATTTTCTTTTGGGTTTAGTCCCTTTCTTAATCTGGGGTCGCCACAGCAGAATGAACCACCAACCTATCCAGCATATGTTTTACGCAGTGGATGCCCTTCCGGCCGCAACCCAACTCTGGGAAACATCATACACACTCATACACTATGGACAATTTAGCCTACCCAATTCACCTGTACCACATGTCTTTAAATTTGAACCAGCGAACTGCTACCTACTGCGCCACTGCCACCCTGAAAGTGATTTTTTTGTAAGTAAATTGATTAGAAGTTATAATGTAGAGGATTATACAGGACAAATAAGCTATTAACTGTCATTAAAAAATGTTGGGTTGTTGGTTGGTTGGGTCAAACATGGAGAAACCCAATATTGGGTAAATTTTTCAATTCAATTTGAAAAAATTCGCCATTTGCCCCAACCCTCTCCATCATTCTTGTTGTCAGATGGGATGGTGGGCCGAATCAAAGGTTACAATGGACCAACTTTCACCTGCTGGCCCTACTTTGGGCATCTCTGACCTAAGCTTCAGAACAAGTCTCACCAATCACCATTTCCAAAACCCAGGGTGTGAACTACAGGGAAGCTAGGGGGAGCTCGGCTCCCATAAATAATGCATTTTTATAATGACTAAATAATAATGACTCAATAAATAAATAAATAAATAATGACTCCCCTGAAAACATGACTTGGGACAGGGTAAACTTGACAAAAGGGAAATCCTTTCTATGGTGTTTCTTTCATTTTTGAATTCGTGATTATGTTTTAACGTAATAAAAAGTGGGATCCAATGACATTCTATAGGCCTATGTAAAATAAAAAAGCATATGCTGTCCTTAATGCCACTGTCTTGAGCTTATAGAGCCAATAGAAAAATGATAGGCTACATGACGAGGTTTTTTACTATTGTGGTGTTTTGTTTATTTAGCCTACTTAGCAATATTAGTAACAGTTATATAAATATTTGATTTATATTAATAAATTTTTTGATTATTTATTGCTGTTTAAGGACAGGGATCCTGTGTGTGTTATAGCCTACAACATTGTGGCAAGGGACTCTCAAGATCAAAGCGACACTCCTGTTAGAAAAAAAAGTGGGCGCCCCCAAAGGCCACGTTACAGTTCAAACACTGCTAAACCCTTATGAGTTTCTTTATTCAGGTAAACACAAAGTAAGATATTTCGAAGAATGTTGGAAGCTGGTGGAGAATGACTTGTGTAGTAGGAACAAAAATATTTTAGCATTCTTTGAAATATCTTATTCTGTGTTCAGCAGAGAAAAGAAAGTAAAATATGTATGAACACACGTGAATGTGAGTGAATAATGAGTATATTTACAGTTTTAGTTGAACTGTCCCTCCAGTTTCCCCCACAAGTCCAAAGGCATGTGCTATAGGTGGATTGGGTAAGCTAACTTGTCTGTAGTGTGTGTGTCTATGTGTGTGAATGAGAGTGTATGGGTGTTTCACAGTGATGGGTTGTGGCTGGAAGGGCATTCCCTGCGTAAAACACTGGATAAGTTGGTGGTACATTCCGCTGTGGCGACCCCAGATTAATAAAGGGACTTAGCCGAAAAAAAAAAAAATGAATGAATAAATGTCCCTTTAACAGGATCATAATGCTTGTGCTACTAATATAGAAACAAATATAGAAATTCACTAATATAAGAGAATCTTGAATGCATTACTTTGTAGATTACAGTGTGTGGTGTAAATAAAAATGTTAGACCCTACTTTAAAATTCTTTTAAGCAGGGTCAAGTGCAGTAAATTGAGCGTACTGACATTACTGCACTACTGAAGCTGCTCATGCTTTGACTTTGCTGCCACCTTGCTGTCACATTGTAGTTCTGCACTGCTTAAGCCAAGAGTACAACAGTAATTCCTTTGACAAATAATCAGAAATATAAATATAATGTAAAATAGCTTCGTTAAAAGCATATGTTAAAACGTTTATTATTTTTATCATTGTAATAATAATAATAATAATAATAATAATAATAATAATAATAATAATAATAATAATCAAATTAGTATTTTTAACAAAACAACATTTTTGATGTGCATTGAACAGCTCCTTCAATTCAATGAACATTTTATGTTGTAATTAAATACTGCATAATTAAAAAAAGAAAAATGTTGGTTGATAGTGACTTTAAATTTAACATACATGCACACACATAATTTATTTTAACTGAAGGATCAGTTCAAACATTCATTTATTCATTTCCTTTTCGGCTTAGTTCCTATTAATCTGGGGTCGCCACAGTGGAATGAACCACCAACTTATCCAGCATATGTTTTACGCAGTGGATGCCCTTCCAGCTGCAACTCATCACTGGGAAACACCCGTACACTCTCATTCACACACATACACTATGTATATCTGTCCCTATTCACCTATACCGCATACCCGGCAAAAAAAAAAAAAAATAAAATAAAAAAAAAAACAAAAAAAAAAAAAACACGAGAACACGGGGACGGGGAGAACATGCAAACTCCCCAAAGAAATGCTGACAGACCCAGCCGAGGCCCGAACCAGCCAGTGCGCCATTTTTTATAAGCCACTGTGATTGTATGTGTGTGCATGTGGGTGTTAATTATTTATAGCATTATTAATAATATATTATAAACGACATATCTTGCTTATTAGTGAAAGGGCAGCACAACCTGTCATTCAAGTGAATCCACCAATAGCAAAAAGACATATGGTCCAACCCTCGGATCAATTCAAATTAGTCGTTCAAAATTTAAAAGAAGTTTTGTTGTGGCGCCACCTTGCTAGTAGAATAGAGTTTTTACAAAATAACCAACACCACACATCATGCTTCTCAGCAAAGGTTAGTATGTCCTTTGATTATTGTTGCTGATAAAGGTTTGGTTACTGCACGGGTTTCAGTCCAAACGGAATAGAAGTAAAGTTGGTTTTATATTCGCACATTCCGACCTCTGCGTTCAATAAGTTTGTTAATCAGCAAGTAAAGAATCCAAATTCAATTATTTACCGTTGTAGTCGATTATGAGCAAAATGTACGCCACACTTTTCTGTCAAACTCGGCGTTTTAAAGGAGTAGAAAAACACGCTTACCTCTATGAAGGAGGTGACGTCATCGCTTTTTTGAGGGACCGTCTACAAACTATCAGTTTGTAAAATCAAGCTGTCAACGTTCACTGTCTATAGTAAGCCTACTACTTAATCTTAATAAAATCATCTGCAAACAATATATCACAGACATGTTTATGTATACATTATATTCAAACAATTTAAAAACATAAAACTTTTAGAATAGACTTAGTAATTTAGAATAGTATATTAGTATAGAATAGTAATTTTATACACTGATTTTTGAGTTATGATTAATGTATATACACTTTACACAAGTATACATGTTCATGTGTAATATGAATAACTATATATGTTTTTTCCCCTCTTCTTTTTCCTAATTATTTACAGATTGTACGCAAGCAAAAGATGGCCAGATCGAGACTTGTGAACTTCACCACTGGCTCCCTCCTTTAAAATGTTACTCTGCTGAAGTACATGTGAATAAAGAAATATTTTCAAGACAGCAAATAACAGTGTCATGAAATGAGTGCTGCTCATGTGGACGAAAAGAGTCCAAAATGAGAATCTATGCATTTGGGGATTTACAATGCTATTATTCACTTTGGAATGTTTTTTTTTTACTTGCATGTATTTGCACAATATTTTTATACATAATTGCCACATATTACATAGTAATGTAATAAGTTGTACTTTCATTACATATTAAGTGAGATTCTTGCCAATGTTTGTTTCATGTCCCATGTGTCAATATAGAGCTGCAATAGGAAGACCAGCAGACGTTTTGTAATTTGTGTTTGTAATCAATGTAATTGCATGATAAAATGATGAAATGGGAGATGTAATGGATTTATTCTTAAATTATCATTGTGTATGAAGTGTGCTTTTTAAATAAACTTGTTTTGAAATGCAAGAAAAATACTATAAAAATATGCTTATAAATATTCTTATAAATTTATATACAAGATATGTTTATGAAAAGCTACTTGTGAGTGATAGATAATATAATTATTGATTTCTGATGTTAATTTGTTGATGTTACAATGGTTGGACTTAAAGAAATTAAAACATCTACATCCACAATGAACACTACAGAAAATATGCACACAAATATTAATATAAATTATTTTACAACATATATTTATGAAAATGTACTTGTGAGTGATAGATAATATAATTATTGATGTCTGATATTAATTTATTGATCCTACAATAATTGTAAAGCAAGATATTAGGATATCTGCATTTACCATGAAAAAAACAAACTGTGGAAAATATGCTTACAATTATCAATATAATTTTTTTTACAAAATATATTTATGAAAAGCTACTTGTGAGTCATAGATAATATTATTACTGATGGCTGGATTTAATTTCTTTATCCTACATTTATTTCACAACAAGATATTAAGATATTTAGATTCATGAAAAACACTACAGAAATTATGCTTATAAATATTAATATTAATTCATATCTAACATACATTTATTAAACGGTGCTTGTGAGTTTTAGATAATATTATTAATGATGTCTAATTTTAATTCGTTGCTCCTACAACATTTGGACATTAGAAAATTAAGATTTTTACATTTACAATGAAAAAAACACACTACAGAAATTATGTGCACATAAAAATGAATATAAATTAATGCAAACCATATATTTATCAAAATGTGCTTGTTAGTGATAGACAATATAATTATTGATGCCTGATGTTTATTTTCTGACCCTACAATGATTTTGAAACAAGATGTTAACATATTTACAATCATTAAAAACACACACTGCAGAAATTATGAACACAAATTTTAATATAAATTAATATACATTATATATTTATGAAAAGCTTCTTGTGAGTGATAGACAATATTACTGCTGATGTCTGATAATAGTTTGTTGATGCTACAATTATTATGAAACAAGATATTTACATTCACACTGAAAAACATACACTACAGTAAATATTCACACAAATATTAATATAATTTTTTATGACATATTTCTCTAAAAGTACTTGTGAGTGATAGATAATATTATTACTGATGTCCGATATTAATTTCTTTATCCTACAGTGATTTCACAACAAGATATTAAGACATCTGCGTTTACTATAAAAAAACATATGCTGTGGAAAATATGCTTATAATTATCAATATAAATTTATTTACAAGAAATATTTATGAAAAGCTTCTTGTGAGTGATAGACAATATTACTGCTGATGTCTGATATTAGTTTGTTGATGCTACAATTATTGTGAAACAAGATATTTACATTCACACTGAAAAACACACACTACAGTAAATATTCACACAAATAATAATATAATTTTTTTATGACATATATTTCTCAAAAGGTACTTGTGAGTGATAGATAATATTATTACTGATGTCTGATAGCAATTTGTTGATCCTACAATGATTGGACATTAAGAAGTTAAGTTATTTACATTCACTATGAAAATCATACACTAAAAAAATATGGTCGTAAATATTCATTTAAATTATTTTACACCATATATTTCTCCACAAATTTTTATGAGTTATACACAATAATATTACTGATGTCTGATGTTAATTTGTTAATCCTACATTGATTGTAAAACAAGATATAAGGATATTTACATTCACTGAAAAACATAAACTACTGATATTATGATCACAAATATTTATATAAATTCATTTACAACATATAAACATATATAAAAAGGTACTTGTAAGTGATAGACAATATGATAACCGATGGCTAATTTCAATTTGTTGATGCTACAATGATTGGACACTGTATGTGTTGTTCATTGTTTTAACTGTTTTGTTACATTGTAATTAAAACAATAGGTTCATATTTTGCTAATTGTAGAAACATGTACTTGTGACTGATAGACAATATTATTACTGATGGCTGATTTTAATTTGTTGATCCTACAATGATTGGACAACAAGCTATTAACATATTTAAATTCACTGTGAAAAACACACACTACAGAAATTATGTGCATAAATATAAATAATAGTTAATGTAGACCATATATTTCTCAAAAATTATGTGTGAGTGATAGACAATATTACTGCTGATGGCTGATTTTAATTTGTTAATCCTACAATGATTGTGGAACAAAATATTAAGATATCTGTGTTTACTGTAAAAAACATATGCTGTGGAAAATATGCTTATAATTATCAATATAAATTTATTTGCAAGATATATTTATGAAAAGCTTCTTGTGAGTGATAGACAATATTACTGCTGATGTCTGATAATAGTTTGTTAATGCTACAATTATTGTGAAACAAGATATTAAGATATCAACGTTTACCATGAAAAATATGTACTGTAGAAAATATGCTTATAAAAATTTATATTAAATTGTTTGCAACACGTATTTATATAAGGCTACTTGTGAGTGATAGGGGATATCATGACTGATGTTTGATGTTCAATTGTTGATGCTACAGTGATTGGACAACAAAATATTAAGATATTTACATTCACTGTGATGAAAAACACTACAGAAATTATGCTTATAAATATGAATATAAATTCATTTACAACATATAGTTGTGAAAATGTACTTGAGAGTAATAGATAATATACTTATTGATGTCTGATTTTAATTTGTTAATCCTACAATGATTTTGAAAAAAAAAAAAAAAAAAACTTGATAGAAAATATGCTTTAAAAGTTCACCATAATAATTGCTGTGCACATTAGTAAAATAATTGATGTGAGTACAACATAAAATGAAGACTCATGTGGGAAAACATTTTGCTTAAACTAATATATTTTAAAGTACTTTTTTACACCTGTAAATGTATAGAAGATTGATTATAGGCAAACTTAAATAATACGAGAAAAATATTGAATTAAACAAATATTATCAGTAAAACAATTGATGTCACCACAACATTAAGATTGATGTGGGAAAAATTGGTTAAATTACAATGTATAAAAAACATAATTTTATATTTTTAAATAAAAAGATTAAATACATGCAGTGGTTGTAAGCAAACTTTAAAAAAATACAAAATAATATTGAAAGAGATGTTATTAGTAAAAGAAATGATGAGTACACTAGACTAGAACATGTAGACAAATGCTGGAAAAATTATGCTAATAAAAAATATTTTTATTAAGTCATTCATTCATTTTCTTTTCAGCTTAGTTTTTATTAATCTGGGGTCGCCACAGCGGAATGAACCGCCAACTTATCCAGCAAGATTTTATGCAGCGGATGCCCTTCCAGCCACAACCCATCTCTGGGAAACTATTTTTATATATATTAAAAAAAAACACACATTAATGACTTTGACTTTAGGCTAACATAAAAAGTGACAAAAATACTTATAATATTCTTAAAATAAGTTATACGAGTACAACAAAAATAAAGATTCAAGCTTGAAATCAATACCACCATTACCACCACCACTGAAATATTATTTTACTATTGTGCACAACAATTATTAAGGTGGACTTTTAAAGCATATTTTCTAGAGTGTTTTTTTTTTTATTGTAAAATATATTAATATCTTGTTTCAAAATCATTGTAGGATTAACAAATTAAAATCAGACATCAATAAGTATATTATCTATTACTCTCAAGTACATTTTCACAAGTATATGTTGAATTTATATTCATATTTATAAGCATAATTTCATAATTAATTAAGCATAATTAATTGTGTTTTTCATCACAGTGAATGTATATATCTTAATATTTTGTTGTCCAATCACTGTAGCATCAACAATTGAACATCAAACATCAGTTATGATATCCCCTATCACTCACAAGTAGCCTTATATAAATACGTGTTGCAAACAATTTAATATAAATTTTTATAAGCATATTTACTACAGTACATATTTTTCATGGTAAACGTTGATATCTTAATATCTTGTTTCACAATAATTGTAGCATTAACAAACTATTATCAGACATCAGCAGTAATATTGTCTATCACTCACAAGAAGCTTTTCATAAATATATCTTGTAAATAAATTTATATTGATAATTATAAGCATATTTTCCACAGCATATGTTTTTTACAGTAAACACAGATGTCTTAATATGTTGTTGTGAAATCATTGTAGGATAAAGAAATAAATATCAGACATCAGTCATAATATTATCTATCACTCACAAGTACTTTTAGAGAAATATATGGTGTAAAAAAATTCATTAATATTTATGATCATAATTGCTGTAGTGTGTCTTTTTCATAAATGTAAATATCTTAATATCTTGTTTGTAGCGTCAACAAACTATTATCAGACATCAGCAGTAATATTGTCTATCACTCACAAGAAGCTTTTCATAAATATATAATGTATATTAATTTATATTAAAATTTGTGTTCATAATTTCTGCAGTGTGTGTTTTTAATGATTGTAAATATGTTAACATCTTGTTTCAAAATCATTGTAGGGTCAGCAAATAAACATCAGGCATCAATAATTATATTGTCTATCACTCACAATCACATTTTCATAAATATATGGTTTGCATTAATTTATATTCATTTTTATGTGCACATAATTTCTGTAGTGTGTTTTTTTCATTGTAAATGTAAAAATCTTAATTTTCTAATGTCCAAATGTTGTAGGAGCAACAAATTAAAATTAGACATAGTTAATAATATTATCTATAACTCACAATGATCTTTTTATAAATATATCCTGTACATTATTTAATATGCTTTATTTATGCAAATAATTTCTGTAGTGTGTGTTTCATTGTGAATGTAAACATCCTGATATCTTGTTTCACAATCATTGTAGGGTCAACAAATGAACATCGGACATCAGTAATACTATTGTCTATCACTCACAAGCACCGTTTAATAAATGTATGTTAGATATGAATTAATATTAATATTTAAAAGCATAATTTCTGTAGTGTTTTTTTTATGAATCTAAATATCTTAATATCTTGTTGTGAAATAAATGTAGGATAAAGAAATTAAATCCAGCCATCAGTAATAATATTATCTATGACTCACAAGTAGCTTTTCATAAATATATTTTGTAAAAAAAAAACTATATTGATAATTATAAGCATTTTTTCCTCAGTTTTTTTTTCATGGTAAATGCAGATATCCTAATATCTTGCTTTACAATTATTGTAGGATCAATAAATTAATATCAGACATCAATAATTATATTATCTATCACTCACAAGTACATTTTCATAAATATATGTTAAGAAATAATTTATATTAATATTTGTTTGCATATTTTCTGTAGTGTTTTTCATTGTGGATGTAGATGTCTAAATTTCTTTAAGTCCAACCATTGTAGTGTCAACAAATTAATATTAGGCATCAGTAATAATATTGTGTATCACTCATAAGTAGCTTTTCATAAATATATCTTGTAAATAAATTTATATTGATAATTCTAATCATATTTTCTACAGTATGTTTTTCATGTTAAACACAGATATCGTAATATCTTGTTGTTCAATCATTTTAGGATTAACAAATTAATATCAGACATCAGTCATAATATCCCCTATCACTCACAAGCACTTTTTGAGAAAAATATGGTGTGAAATTTTTTATTAATAATTGTGAGCATAATTTCTGTAGTGTTTTTCATGAATGTAAATATCTTAATATTTTGTTGTGAAATAATTGTAGCATCAACAAATTAATGTCAGACATCTGTAATAATAATATCTATCACTCACAAGTAAGTTTGGAGAAATATATGTTCTACAATAGTTTATAGTAATATTTTAGAGCATAATTTCTGTAGTGTTTGTTTTTCTTTGTGTATGTAAATGTGTAATTTTTTTTTGTTGTCCAATCATTGTAGGATCAACAAATTATAATGATCATAATAAATGCACACTATTTATGATATAATGATAGTTTAATGTACAACAACATGTCATAAACAGAAAAAACAGAAATGACAGTGTTACAATATTTAGTTAAGACAATGGGTAAGACAGAGGTAAGGAAAACAGCAGGGCACAGGTTGCATGCATGTTCTGCAGGGTCCACAGATGTTGATGTGCACAGGCCATGATTTCAAAACCTATTTAAACAAATCAAATGACAAGGTTACATACAAATCAGAAACATAAAAAATTGTGTGTATGTATGTATATATATATATATATATATATATATATATATATATATATATATATATATATATATATATATATATATATATATATATATATATATATATATATATATAAAATTACATGAAATATATTAATCAATAAAAACATGTCATTGTAATGCAAAATGTAAGTGATGTGTACCGTTATAGTAGTTGGCTGAATTCCTTTTGTTCGTTTTTCAACAACCTGAGAACTTTTGACTCGGTCCCTTTGTTGTTTTTCACGCGATATTGAATATTCGGTCTGAAATCGCATGTAAGTAACACTTCAAACAACACTAGCATGATTTCTTTGACCATGAACGCTGTTGTAGTTTGATAATAGTTGTCTGCTAGTGTGATTTCGCTATTTGGAATTTGCAAACAATAGTTTTCTAATATTTTATTAGGGGAGCGTAAGTGCGAATGTGCAAATATAAAACCAACTTTACTTCTATCCAAACGGACCATGTGCACGAAACATTTTAAAGCTAACCGAAAACTTCCGGTGAAAGGTCGGCGTAAGTGATTTCATTTCATGATGGGGTCTTCTTAACAACATTCATAGTGAATATTCAGTTTATAATCAAAATAAAGTTACTTAGTTTTTCTCTATTCGTTTGGCTGATTTCTTGAAACAGGAACTACATTCTCAAAACAACATGGACAAACCTCCAAACCACTTGGCAATTGTTTACAACAGACTCGATTTTCTAATTGGTTTCATCAAATTGTAAATGTCTTAGTACATCTTTGCGAATGATTAAGTACAGGTAGCCAACATTTAGCACAATTTCCAATTGAATTGATCTTTTTAATATAAACTGATTGTTGACACTCAGTTAAATGGTTGGCTTCAAAATATGCCAGCGTCAAGTCACCACATGCACAATAGTCTGTTCAATTGTCAAAATTAGTTAAGAACATAATACCATGAATACCATACAGTAGGTAAATCCTTGGAACATTTGATTACAATTTATTACAGCTATTTATTCTTTTTACTTTGATATATGGAAGTTACTTTGTGGTTTATCATAACTATAATAAGAGTTATCATTTCCTTGGCTGTATATGGGTGCAATGTGTGACGTCAAACCTTGGAGGCTACTCTTACTCTAAAATCCTATTTCTTTTTTTTTGTTTTTCAGTTTTATACACAATTGTATTTTGTTAGCTAGACAAAAACAGTTCAGTAATCATTGTCAATGAAGGACTGGGCTTAGACTGTAAGGTGGACATGAGGGGTATTTTAGTGGTCCTTTGCCATAATGACAAAACATCTAAACATTTTGACTTGCAGTGCTTACACAATGCCAAAGGGATGAATCATTTTGGGGGCACTGACTGTTTAAATGAGAGGGAAATTTAGTTTTGACACATGAGTGAATTGTTTTTGGAAAGCTATGAGCTATAGTGTTGTGCTAAACTGTAACACTGTTTTGCCAAATGATCTTAGAATTTTGAGAATGTAATTTATTTTTCAAGAAAAGAGTCACCAAATGAAAAAAAACTGTAAACTAAAATCCTTTTTATAAATTTTATAAATCTTAAAAAAATTATTTTATTTTATTAATTGCATTCTGGCTAAAGGCAAACAACAGTAGAGTAAACATTTTCAAAAACTGGACTAAGACTGTAAGGTAGACATGAGGGATATTTCACTGGTCTTCTGCAAAAGTGACAAAACAACTAAACATTTTGACTTGCAGTGCTTACACAGTGCCAAAGGGACAAAGGATTTTGGAGGCACTGACTGTTTAAACAAGAAGGAAATTTAGTTTTGACACACGAGTGAAAAGTTGGGAAATATATGAGCTTTTGCAAGTGAGCTATAGTGTTGTGCTAAACTGTAAGACTGTTTTACAAAACAATCTTGTAGTGTTGAGAATGTTATTCCTGTTTCAAGAAATGAGCCAAACCAAATGAGAAAAACAAAACTGTAAATAGACCTAACCGGTCATTTAGTTGTTCAACAATTAAAGTAACAGTTCTCCTAAAAATGAAAACCAATACCTCACTACCACACTCAGGTGGTTCTAATTTATTTATTTAAAACTTAAATAAGTTTTAATAATACTTTAATTTGAGTTTAATAACAAAATATTCTGAAGAATATTGTTAAAAAAGCAACCATTCACATCCATAGGAACAAAACATACAGAGTCAATGTGTTTTTTTTTTTTTTTTTAGAGCATAAATGATGATAGAATTTTTTATTTTTTGCTGAACTATCCCTTGTAAGCACCATGGCAGGCTGCAGCTGATCATGTACATTCATAGAAACTACTGTGTGAAAAATAAATATTTTAAGGAGTTGTCATGGCGCAATGCCAGACATGCTCAATAATAATAATAATAATAATAATAATAATAATAATAATAATAATGTTCATATCTGGTGACTGGGCTGGCCAATCCTGTAGCACCTTGACCTTCTTTGCTTTCAGGAACAACTATGATCTACTAGAAGTCAAGTTATTATTTGTTGCTTTTACAATTGGGATTGACGACAAGAGTTTTGTCAGATAGTGTACTCATACTAAAAATAAATACTTACAACTCAGTGAGGGTAAAACTGCATGATGACATGATCCAAATTCTCGCCTTTCATTTTGAGACTTTTGGCCTTCCATACAAAAGGAAACTTACGCTAAATTATTTTTGAGACCAATGACAATAACAGAAAATAATAACAGAAAGAAGGCTAAGTAGAATAAAATGAGGCAAAGTAGAATAAAAAACAAACTTATTATTCATTTTGAGGCACAAAAAACGCACAAAACACAAGCTCACTGTATTTTATTTTCTGAAAAAAGAGTGCAAAACATATGACATACCAGTATTTACAGCACTTAATAAAAGGATGCAATCACGTGACCTCGTCCAACTCACCTATCATCGATCGTTTGGGGGTAACTATTTACAAAACAAAATAGTCACACGTTTACAGTAGAGAAACCAAACTTACAACATACAGTCCCAGACCAGCAGGCCTTATAAAAAATCCCCAAAAGGTTCAAAACTCATTTCCGTTTATTATTTTAGCTTACTAAACAGAGCCCTCTGCTGGCTAAAAGTGAAATTGCATATGATCCACTTTTCATCCCTTATCTGCGACAGACAGCATCGTCTACTTTCAGATGTGCCTTTATTAAGATACCTGAAAACATACCTTCAGAAGATTTCCCTGGTAATATGCATTGATAGACTGGGTGTGAAGTATAGCAGCTTGTATATGATACACAATCAATTGTGGTAGAACCAGATACGTAGAACTTTTTTCTCTTAACGATAGCTACCCAGAGATAAGGGTAGAACATTTACATTTCGGACAGAGGTATATGTATGTGACTTTGGGTTTTGTTTGGCTAAATCTACCAGAATATGAAAACGCTATTGGACTAATAAGGTTAATGAATGTGTTGCAATTATTAGCTGAACTTATTTAAAAGGTTTTCCTTGAATTGTAATTGCTTGTACAAAAATGGTCATAGTGTTGCTATGCAGTTATTGGTGGTTGCTAGGTGGCTACTAACTGGTCCAAACCGAATGAGCACACATCCATTTCCTTATTCAAGGCTTTAAGATTTTTTTTTATCTCTTATATGCCGACATGAAAATCGCACACTGTCAATTACAAAATTTATATTTCACCTCTTATCAAAATCTCACAATATGAGGTATAATTCATGTCTGTTGGAAAAAATGGATGTGTTATGCAACAAAACAGGGAGTTTAAGCAAAACTCCTGATCCTTAATATTAGCGAAATGCATTAGCATAAACACAATGATTCTCCATATATCAGGTTGTGATTTCACTTATTGCCATAACATTGATTTCATCAAATGTCTTTGCTTACTTGTGATGGATGATCTCGACATAAACTTGATCCGTGAATTTTGGCTATATGGGTCTCTTAAATAATTTAAATACAAACAAACATTCATTGTGATCCAGTCTCATGGACAATATACATCATGTATCTAAAACAAACAAAAAGCCTTATTGATATGGTCATATTGACTAAAATGACCTGCCGTGAAAGATATTAAAGTGGTCATATCATGATTGATTCAGTCCATTTTATTTACTCATCTATCATAGAACTGGCTGTTTTTGTGTGGCTGGCTTTATTTAATGCTCTTTTCAACTTTGATGATAAACACCAGCTCTGCTTTTAAAGTTTGCGCTGCCTCATGTGACAGATTCATCTAACAATTTGAGCTAAAAATTAACTTATTTACCACTATCAGATCTAGGGCTGTGCGATTTGGGGAAAATATCTAATTGCAATTTTTTTAACAGATATTGTGATTTTGATTTGCGATTCAATTTTGTAGTCAAGCTTTAGCTCAATATTTTGTATCGTAGCTTCCTACTGCTAAAATGCAGTGAGTGTTAGTCTAAAAAAGGAACTGAAAAGATATGAACTTAATCCAGCGTTTATTCAAATTTGCTTTTAAACATTCAGAAATTAAACACTACTTTTTGTCTAAACATTAAACAGTCGTAAGTTATGGCATTAGTTATTACATGGTGTCTGTGGTGCTTTTTTAGTTGCTGGTTGTTGTATTTCCTCACATTGTGGCAACAATTTTGCGACAGCTCTTACAATTGACTAGTTTTTGTTCAGTGTCTGTAACTTTGAAGCCAAAATATTCCCATTTTACCAATGTCCTGTTTTTCTTTGATACTAATTTGTCTATTAATGCTTCTGAAGTGGTAGTTGCTATCATCATCCGACTTGTCCATGCTTTCCGGTTTTTAAATTTTTTTTGTGGGCGTTCCCCATAGTTTGGTTGCTCAGTTCTGATTGGGCAGAACGAAAGTGTGCTTACTCAATTGACTAGTAAGACGGCAAACACAGACAGCAGAAACAAATTTGCTCTGGGAGAGGGAAATTATATAATAAATATAAATGTCATATAGCAACCTCCTGCGATTAGCTAATTGCAACGCTTCAAATCGAAGCGATTAATGGCACAGCCCTGAGCAGATCCTTCGAAATAGAACTCAGCGATATGACAAAAATGCAATTTTGATAATTATTTTCCATATTGACTGATATTGTATATTACGATATACGTTGTTAATGCTTGCAAATTTAAAAGAGTACCCTAACAATCACTGAAGCCACAACAATTAGAAGGGTCCATTAAATGGTATAACACATATTCGCCTAATAAACCTTCGGTGGCTGAAAATTCGGTACATCTCTAATATCAACACAATTTTAGATTCCCATTGTTGCACATTTATTATTATTTTTTTTTGTGTTACTGGCTCTTGGATCAATATAGAGTAAAAAAGTTCAAAGATTATCATTGTAATTGACATAAATTTTATCGCGATTCGATATAATTTCGTTTATTGGCGGAAATGGTGTTAGTGAGGCTAGCAGTTGGCACTCAACCTGCGGTCTGTTAGACCTCAACCTGGGTCCTAATAGCCCAGTATAGTGACAGGGACTCTATACTGCTCTGTGAACGCCGTCTTGAGGATGAGACATTAAACCAAGGTCCTGACTCTCTGTGGTCATGAAAAATCCCAAAATGTCCTTTGAAAAAGTGTAGGGGTTTAACCCCGGCATTCTGGCCAAATTTGCCCACTGGCTTCTGTCCATCATGTCCTCCTAACCATCCCCACATTATAATTGGCTTCGTCTCCTCTCCACCAATCAGCTGGTGTGTGGTGTGCGGTCTGGCGCAATATGGCTTCTGTCGTGTTTTCCAGGTGGATGCTGCACATTGGTAGTGGATGAGAAAATTCCCCTAATGTGTAAAGCACTTTGAGTGTCTAGAAAAGCACTATATAAATGTAAGGAATTAATTATTGGCTCAGCCCTACTTCGAAAGGATCTGCATAGCTGTAGATGCTACGCCAAGCTAGACACAGTACAATATGTGGTGAATTTTCCAGTTTTGTAGCCTATGATTGGCTCAACCATTGGAGCTTTAGCTGTAAAGTATAGCTTCATGTACAATATGCAATTTTGAAATCTAAAGTGGATGGTCATATGCTAATTGTGCTATTTAGTTGTAATAAATAAACTTATGTCAATACATACTTGAGATCTGAGATAAAGACAAGCTCAGGGTTTGCTTAATATGTTGTAGATAAATCACAGTATTACTTGTATAATTAGTTCAAATAGAGCTTAGGACTAAAGTTCGTTCGCTCATCCAATATATATTGTTAATGTTTGCAGTGGGTGGTCATATGCTAATCTAACAATTATAAATACACTATTGCACTTCACATACTGAATGTTGCAGATGAACTCTCTCATTTCAAATACAAAGGACTGTTTAATACCTCATGATATGACCTCTTTAGACAAAAATAAAAACCCCAGGACGACAGAAATAGAGGAAAGTAAACAGCATGTCTTCTATCTTACACTTCTTTGCTAACACATACAGACACCAAAGTGCTCTGGGAAGCAATGCTGTCAGACCTGGAGAGAGTGTGAAAGTGAGCATCTGTCAGACACTCATTAAAAATGAAAGCCCAATTCCATTTTTATCAATAAAGCCATGACAAAACAGAAAATAAACATAAGCGAAATGCAAAATAATGAGCATAAAAATAAGACTCTTTATCCAGCAGATATCCGTTTGAATTCATGATTTGGCAACTTACATTCAGACATCTGACAAGTGAGTGTGTATTCAGTCTATTCCAGCAAAAAGTCGTGACTATGAAACGTCAAAGCAGTCTCATCTCCGGTACAGAGACTCGTCCCCTTTACAAGTAACAAACACTGATTAGAACTCATAAATTCACATAAAACAGGATTCAGGCCCATTTGGGTTAAAGTCAACTTGGACTTCGTCACATTCTCTCCTTCTACAAAGAAAGTGGTCGCCACTGAAGAAAGAATTTTGGCTTTAGATTTATTTTATTCCATTGCTGCAGTTCACATCTGTGTCCTTCAGGGGGCACGATCATGCTCGCATAAAGCCTGTGCCCTTTTGTGCCTTGTTTTGCAAAGTGAGTCCCTCATATTCTCCACCACGAAAAGCGTAATGGTACAGTCCAGGAGTAGGAGCCACAGACAGGTGAAGGGTCATACCATTTGTGGATTGTGGGTGGTGCTATAATTCACTGTGTCGTACAGGAGGTTCGAGCTTGTGGGATAGAGCGGTGAGGACTTTATCGAATTTCTCATAACGCTCCGTTTGACTGCCTTCAGAGCCACGACTGCCCCATAAAAGCCTCATCTGAAACTCTGTACAGAAGATCTCCAACACCTCCTTTCGCTCCTGGAAATCTGAGGAAAGATTAATTGTAAAGAAAACAAAAAGAAATATTTATTAGAATAATATCTGTATTGTATGTGAAAATAGTGCACTGCAATTCAAAGCATAACCAAAAGTTTTGGGACATCTGTCTTTACATGCACTGGAACTGTAATGGTTTAATATGGAATTGCTCACACTTTGCAGTAGGGGTGTTAACCTACACTGGTCTCACGGTTTGCTTCGGTTACGATTATCATGCCAACGATTCGGTTCAATTTGATATCTCGGTGCATTGATGAAGCTTTTTATACATAATTCGATTTTTTTCTTCACAACACAAGAATTTTTTAAAATTAAAATCTATAATTGTATTAATATTTATATATTATTTGTAATACAATTTTGTCCTTTAATACAAGCAGTAAGATGAACTGTACTTTTAATTTTACCTGCTCGAAGAAAACACTCTTTTTGAATGTATTAAACAAAACTCAAATACAATCACAGAAGGCAGCATGAACATTTAAAGCAAATAAACGTAATGTATATATGATCCTGCTTGCTTTTTGAGCGATGTCAAGCGAGGTCTTACACCCCTATGTTTGGTCATTGTCTTCACCTGCTTAGCAGAGAGGGCTGGTATTGGCTTTAGAAATTAAAGCGCTGTTCACCAACGAGTGATGCAGGAAAAACATCCGCAGTTACAATCTATGCGCTTTATACGCAGTTATCACAGGTAATCCATAATACAGTGGAGAAAACTTGCACCTCAGACATGCTCGCGTCTGGATCCACAAGTATCGCTTTAACAGCCAAGAGGAGAGGAAAAGTTACCTCATGAACACGTCAGCGTGTCAAATGTCCAAAGTGAGAGAGAGAGAGGCAGAGATGGATTTTATAGCATTTCTCCCTAGTAGTGAAATAGCGGCTTGTGTGCTGTGCCTTTTTCAGTGTTAGCGAAAGACTCACAAGCAGTTGAATTGTGCATAATTATCTACCTTTTAAGTAGTAGGAGTGTTTTATTTACTCCCCTCGCCTCCTTCTTCATAGTATTCTACTGGGACATCGCGCATAGGAGATAAATGACATCAGTACGTAAAAACCTGTTATGATCTATCACTAAACTGATATCGAATTGTCCCCATCTGCATCGCGGTACACCAAAGAAACAATTAATTTTGACATTCTTACTTTGCAGCTATAAAGGCTTCGACTTCTCTGGGAAGGCATTCCACAAAGTTTAGTAGTTTGTTCATGGCCGTTTTGACCATTTTTCTAGAAGCATGTTTGTGAGGCCAGTAGGGTTGTCACCATACTGGAATTTGACACTAATCGATACTGAAATTTTAAAAACATCCAATTCCCACAAATGTTTAAGCACGTTCTTTGCCATTGCCAAACTTGCCAAATTTGCCAAATTGCCAAGTGCTGATTTGCCATTATGTTCACCTGCTCAACAGAAATTACTGACTGGCCGTGAAGGTCATCAGTTCATCGAACTCACCTCTGTTTACTGAGTGTAACCACAGATACAGGGACACTGGAGCGTTTCAAAGTCACGTTGATCAGCTGGTTTGTCTGTAAGCTGACATATGAGCGATCTGCTGATGAATCGCGGCTTTAAAATGCTTCAGTGTCCCTGTTTCTGTGGTTACACTCAGTAAACAGCTGTGAGTTTGGTGAACCGATGACCTTCACAGCTCTTTTCTGTTGAGCATGTGAACATAATTGCAAACAAAACTGTTCCGTATTTAGTACATCAATGTCGTGAAAAAACACTCTTAGGGTCCTATCATACACCCGGCGCAAGGCGCGGCGCAATAGTCTTTTGCTACTTTCAGCTCAGCGCAAGGGTCGTTTTGAGGTGTTGTGCCACACTGTTTAAATAGCAAATGCATTTGCGCTCAAATGTGCGCCCATAGGCGGTCTGGTCTAAAAAAGCAGGCGTGTTTTGGCGCGTTGCTATTTTGAGAAACTGTAAATAGTCTGTTCTTTAGACCAGAACAAAGTCGGTCTATTGTCGGTCTATTGTAAGTGCGCCTGGCTTACACACTACAAACAAGTTGTAGAGCAATACGCAAATATCTTTACATATGAAAAAGATATAATATATTAAGGATATATATATATATATAATAAGGATATATATAGGATATAAATATAAATGATTAAAATGTTACAAAACATATTAATTTCTAGCCTACATGAATTTAAAAACCACTGCCTTACTTTTTTTCATCTCGGGAGGCTTTTTCAGTTCATTCAATTTACTTTTGTATAATGTTATTATTATTAGTAGTAGTATAATTTATTATATTCATATTTATATTTGTTTTATTAAAAACAAGCTTAGATTTGTCCACCTGTCAAGTTTTAGACCATATGGGGCATGGCAGGTGTATTTGGAAATAACTCAGTATTTTGACCACACTTTGTTATTATTGTTCATTTATTCGTTTGCTGGAAATTAGAACTGAATTTAGAAATCATTTTGAAACAAATATTTGCGCTTAACAAACGAAATTAACTATTTATAGGCTAATTGATATCTGTGCGGTAAGGTTTCCCTATCCACGAGAGCAAAAGCGAAAGTGAACTTGCAGCTGGCTCTTAAAGGTAATGGGAGATGAGACTCTGATTGGTTTATTCTCAAAACACACCTATAACTCATTAAGAAAATAAACTCAACCCTTTTAGACCATGCGCCATGGCGCAAAGCAGATTTTCCCGTCCTTAAATAGGCAAAAATGCCTTCTGACACGCCCTGAAAGCGTTTGCGCCCTGCGTTTTGCGCTCTGTGCATGGACAGTCAAAATAGAGCCCTTAGAGTTTAGTAGGTGTATTTTGGAAGCCAACTAGAGTGTTCTATTAGAATGCTGTCAAAGCAACGGTTTGAGCAGATAGTTTTAGACGCAGATGTAAAACTGTTTACCCTGAAGTTTGCTCTCTGCATTGGTGCGGTACAGTCCTCCATGGTGAGCGATGGTTCTGGCTGCCTCCAAGTGACTCATGACCACATCCACACCAGACTCCACACTCTCCCAGCTCTCCAGAGCCTCTCCTGCTGCCACACTGCGCTCCAGCAGAGACAAGACTGGCACCACATGAGGGAAACACGTACTCGACAGCACACACGTCTCTGAAACACACACAATCAATCATCAATAAAAATAAGAGTTTATGCTCGAGCTGCTAGGGGATTAATAAATTAAAATGCACTCTAATAAATTGATAAGCTCTGAGCATTCATTTATTGGACTTAATTTATTATATTTATTTAATGAAAAATTGCTTTTTTATTATTATTTACCCAAAATGATCTTACTTTAAGTAATAAATAAAACAAAATAATTCTCACAGCTTTTATTACACTCAAAGTATTTATTAGATTAAATTCTATTACCTCATACTTACTTTATTTAAAATATTAAGTTAATTATGAATGATTTCATATGATTAATTAATTACACCTGTGTTATTAAATATTGCCATATAATATTTTGATAAAATAGTTCAACTGAAAATGCATTTTAAATAATATTATAAATAAAGAAATACAATTCATTTGAAAAAAAATGTTACACTGTAATAAGTTCACAGAATTTCAGAACATGTAACTGCAGTTTTTCACAGTAAATTACGTTAGTGTCACTTCACAGGATTTACTGTTAAACTGTGTAATTAATGTGGGCATCATATTACAACAAATTACTGTAAAAATAGACATTAATACACAACGTTTTATGACCAACTTTTATGAGCAACTTTTCTAAGGCACTTTTTTGATATTTATAAATATTTATTGAATTATTGTTTTTATAAAGTAGTACCATACAGTAATTTACTGTGAATTTACATACAGTACGTTACTGTGAAAGTAATGCAATTATTAGTCAGTAATTTACTGTGAATTTAAGAGAAGATATTTTAGTGTAGTTTTTTTTTTTTTGCAATTTTTTTGAGATGCTAATACTTTGGTCAACAACCGATTGCTAATATTTTGACTTTGACAAGATATGTCATTGTGTTACTTTGATTGTGAAGTAAAACTCCACTTTACCTTTGCCGTCATTCATGGCCTTCAGAAATGGCTTGAGTTTTTTCTCATAGAGAATGGCTCCTTCTGTGTGTCTCTGTCGCAGTGTCATCCACGTCTGCTCCAGTCGAGAGATCTACAAACACATCACACATACATGATACAGGTCATATATTATATCCACAAAAATAACATTTACTGCTTTTATGCTTCAAAAGCGTCTGCTAAATTATTAAATATAGCATTTTGTGGAAATGGCCATAAATGATACGATACGAAAGGAATGAAAAGTGCCACGAATTGAGATTTTTCATTATTCATATTGACTTTTTAATTCCAACAACATATATATATATATATATATATATATATATATATATATATATATATATATATATATATATATATATATATATATATATATATATAGTCACCTTAGAATTATAAGTTTTTATTTATCATTCAGAACGCAGATAGAATCTTATCATTTCAAGGTGACGATATATATATGTATAGATATATATATATATATATATATATATATATATTTCATTTTTTGATGCCATTCCTTCAAATTCCTCAATTTCTGACCATGGGTGTAACCCTGTTGTGTTCTAGACATAAAGGTCAGTTCAGATTTAGTGGTTTGTTGAGGACAGGTGTGTTTTCTGACCTGCGGCAGCTCCAGGGCTCTCATGACCGCAGCAAATCCGTACATGTTACCCATGTTGCTCTTGAGTTCAGCAGCCAGCTGGATAGTTTTATGCAGAAGGGCTGCCCTCTCCTCCGTGCTGCCTGTACAGCCTAACAGATCCACCGCCATCATTATTGACATGGTGTAAAACCTGTTGAATGAGAGACAAATACAGTGAAATACACTAAATACAGTCATCAGCAAGGTTTCAGGAAGCATGGTATTATATATTACGATAACAATGTTTTCTGTAAATTCATTCAACAGTTTATCAGTCCCTCCAGTATTTAGCAAAAAAAAAAAAAAAAACGGATTTTATTCTAAAATGACTGATTATGTTTCAAGTTTTTGCATATTGTTCTGCAGCTACTGAAAAAAAATTATTTCTGCAAATGATTGCAAGCAATTTATATGTGTTGAGTTTAAACAACTTTTGTTTGTTTAAATTCAGCCAAAATAAATTGTTTACAACCACTTAACTTAAAAAATTAGTAAATCAAAGAAATCATATCTGAATATTTTTTTGTCAGTGTGTGCAAAATTACACATTTTAATTCATTATTGACTTTTTTTTTTATCTCGAGAACCATTGATTTTTGAAATTTATATAAGGAAAACAGAGAGAACAGAGAGAAACTTAAGTTTACCCTTAAGCCTGCTTTATCATATTTGAAAATTAAACCAATTGTTTTGAAATTAAAACTTAAGCTGTCTCTGTTTTTGATAGCTATTTGAACATGTTAATGGAAATTATGCAGAGATCACGTGCTTACTTTTGTGTGGACGTGTGTGTGTGTGTGTGTGTGTGTGTGAGAGAGAGAGAGAGAGAGAGAGGGGGCTACGTTTTAAGCAAATGCATACAGTATATATAATATTATAGAAATTTTGTGATTTATACAGCTCATGAGACCTAGTTCAAACAGGCTTTTAATGTGCATTGCGATAGTGTCACATGACACGAAAAGTGTCATACCCCTTCATACCCCTAGTATTCATACCCCTGCCAAATTCTAGGAGTGTGAACCTACACTGGTCTCTGGGTTCGATTCCGTTACAATTATCATGTCTATTCGGTTCAATTCGATATCTTGGTGCATCACAGTGCATTGACGATGCTTTTCATCCACAATTATATATTTTTCTTCACAACACAAGAATTCTTGAATTAATTTTTAAAATGTATTTATACAGTATTATTTGTATTACAATTTTGTCCTTTAATACAAGCATTTAGATATGTAAGCTGTACCTGCTTAAAGAAAACTCTTTAAATGCTTCAGACAAAACTCAAATATATACAATTACAGAAGACAACATGAGAATTTAAAGCAAATTCACTAATGTAAATATTATTCCGCTTGCTTTTTGAGTGTTGTCGAGCGTTTTATTACATCCCTATGATTGGTCATTTTGTTCACACACTCAATAGAAAGGGTTGAAATACTGGCTCTAAAACTATTAACTATCGCTGTTCACCAATGAGTGACGCGAACACTGAAAAATTAGCAGTAACAGTCTTTATGCGAGTAATAAAGCGCACGTTTCGTAGCTATCACAGCTGATCCATAATAGACGATGTAGTACCAAAATCGATCTACAGACACTCTTGTGTCAGGATCCACAAGTATCACTTTAATAGCTATAGAGGAGAGAAACAGTTACCTTACAAACAAGCTAGCAGTTCAAAGGTCCAAAGTGAGAGAGAGATAAAGGGGCAGACAGAAAGAGAGAGCTTTCATTTTCTCTTTAGCAGTGAAATAGTGTCTCCTTGTTCTGCTGTAACTTCTGTGTCAGTAAAAGAATGTCCAGCAAACTCGCATGCAGTGAATTGTGAACAGTAGTCCGCCCTTGTGTAAATAAAATAACTAATAAATATATTAACGTAATAACCGGTGATGATCTATTAATGAACCAACACCGAATTGTTTGAGTCTGCATCGTGGTGCATCAAAGAAACAATTAATTTTGACACCTCTACCAAATTCTGACTTAAAGTTACTTTTATTCAAACAGCAAGTTTAGTTTTTTGACTGGAAATGATGCAGGCTTCTCCCAAAAGACAATTAGATGATTTACAAGAGGCATCAAAACAGGAAAAAAAATATTCCTCAGCATTTATTTACATTTGCACAAAAGCTTAAAGTCAGAAATTGCCAGTGGTATGAAAAATTTCAAGCTTGACTGCATATGTTGACTGCATGGATAGGACTATATTTCACTTTAAAGTATATACTCACTTTCTTACTTTATTTAGAGCAGGGGTTTTCAAAGTGTGAGGCGCGCCTCCCCTGGGGGGCGCCAGAGCATGTCAGGGGAGGCACGGGAAAAAATATTATATAATAAAAAAATATAATTATTAAGTTTAATTATTATATGAATTTTTTATTATATTTAAACGTCTTAATTAAACAAAGCTAAAAAAATAATACGTCAAACATAAGAAAACCTTTTTTACGCAGAAGGCCATAGCTGTGAATTCGTTTCTGTTTGGCAAGCCCGCCAATACAGGTATATGCCTGCTAACACAATGGATCGGTTCCTGAGACCCCCCCGATTCAAAGCCTTCAAGTTCAGGGCTTAAACCCAAAAGACAACGATATGATGATCAGTATTTGAGTTTGGGATTTACGTGGACAGGACCAGCTGAGGAACCACGACCTTTATGTGTGGTTTGTCAAGATATTTTGGCTAATGACAGCATGAGACCCGCTAAACTTCGACTGTTTTGACTGGGATGACCAGTTCTTGGATTTGTTCTATTCATATTGAACAATCATCCTGGTTTTAAAAACGTTATATTAAAATACTTGTTATTACTCTGTAAATAATTGCACTTTTATGCAAATGATGATAAAAGTAAGTTAACAGTCTGACATCTGTCTGTGTCAAATATACACTGTATATATATACATATATATATATATATATATATATATATATATATATATATATATATATATATATATATATATATGTATATATATGTGCGTGTGTGTGTGTGTGTGTGTGTGTGTGTGTGTGTGTGTGTGCGCGTGCGTGTTTGGGAGGAGGGGGGCGCCAATAGATAAGTTGTGTCAAAAGGGAGGCCCACTGTCTTAGACTTTGAAAAACCTTGATTTAGAGCATAGGTCTCAAACTGGATTCCTGGAGGGCCACTGCTCCGAACAGTTTTCCTCCAATCCTAATCAAACACACCTGATGCCACTAATCAAGGTGTTCAAGGCTGCGTCCGAAATCGCCTTCTACTCAGTAGGTACTGCATTTAAATTTAAACATGTAGATTTAAACATTCTCGGCTGTTAGAAAAGTACGTTCTATACTTCACTTGCGTGGCATCATGGGATAGCGCAGCATGCATGGGATGCACACTCCAGCATCTTGCCCAAAGTAGTAAGTCATCCGGGTATTTCTTGCATACTGATTTTCGAATTTTATGAATTCAGACATACTACTCGGCTAGCATACTGATTTTAGCGTACTGAATAGTATGGAAGTATGCGGTTTCGGACGCAGCCCAAGACTCTTTTGAACACCTTTATTATTTGGATCAGCCGTGTTTGATAAGGGTTGGAGAGAAACTGTGCAGAGCAGCGGCTCTCCAAGAATCGAGTTTGAGACATATGATTTAAAGTCACTGGGCAAATGTTTGATTATGGATGTAGAAATGGAAATAAATATTCATGAAATACATAGCACTTTTAAAAAACAAATGATTACAGATGCACCATAATAGTGCTAAATAAAATCTAAAGTGTGAAAATTGCTAAATTAAACATTAATCGCTATGCTGTCTCACAAGTTTTGTGTGGTGCCTTCATTCACAATCACTGAAAGTCAAGTCCGAATTTTCCATTGTCCATTCACAAAGTCACAGCCTAAGCTTTCGAATGCACATTTCAAGGGGCTTCAGAGGATTTTGAAAGTCTATGACACACTACAATCTGGATATGTTCACATATCAGATGTGTTCCCTTCCCTCACCTCTCCAGCAGATCCAGCCTCAACTGATGTCCATGAGGAAGAGTCAGCTGCTCCAGCCCTGAGCTCACTCCCATCATCCTCTGCATCTCCTTGGTAACGCCCAGTATCCTAGCAACCTGCAGATAGCCACACAGTTACAAGAGCCATATATTCAAGACTAATATATTCACAGGCATTAGAAAAAACCCCTCAATTAATTAACCTTAATCTCGTCCCCTCACATGATGAATGTGGTCAACAGCAGTGTGGAAAGAGTTTATTAACCCTAAAGGTTTAGATGTTAATGGAAAGCACAGACAGATGAATGGTTTGGGTTGCTTTCCAGAATTTATCAGTCCATTTCACATGTGCCTTATGTAATGCTGTCTGCCCTAATGGACCGGAAAACAGAATCAAGGGATTTTAAACCAATAAGACTTCAATCTGTCGGTGTGTTGTAGGCTTTAGCTGTTTACATTGTTTTTAGGGGTGGGTTTGGAAATCTGAATGTGTGTGCATGGAAAGGGAATTGTCTTGAATTGAACATGGTCTTGGGATCATCAACTATTCATGTACAGAATGGTATGTGGTAAATAAGCCAAAAATTGTATCTGAAAAAAAAAAAAAAAAAGCAAGTCAACAAACAAACATTTAATTTTTGCATTTAACATTTAAAGGTTTTAAAGACCCATCTATTTTCTCTCGCTTTTACTACTTCTTGTTTATTTATTTATTTTAAATTATTGCTTTTACGTATTAATTTTGAAAGGGGAAGAAAAACCTATTTGTGACTTGTGCAAGAATATTTTGATGATAAAACATATTTTATTAGAATGTGTATTTTTAAATGATATCAGGGGACACTTTGTCATTTATGGAGATAATATAAAAGTGAAATTTTTGAAAAGGTGCCTTCTGGAGCAATTTTAGAATATTTATCTTTAGTCAAACTGAAAGATTGTATATAACTCATTTCAGTGTTGTTGCTATTTGTATGTTTTTCTTGTACAATGTATGTTTGTTAGGAAACTGATATGTTTTGCCATGGATATAGCCAGTGCTGCTGATATGGCATTAAAACATAAATCAATCAATCACTTAATCAATCACTTAATCAATCAATCAATTAATCAATCAATTAACAGAATAATTTTGTAGTCATGTTGTCCATTTACATTTTATTTTCTCATTTTTTTCTCTGTTTTAGTGCTCCATTTAGTACAGCAATTTGGTCAACTTCGGTCATTATTAAATGTGCTTTATAAATAAATATTGAATTGATTTAATTGTAATTTATTTCTTCAAAAAAGAGATTGACATCTCACTGACTGATTAGATTTTAATATATTTAAAATGTATATCAGTTTTATATAATCAGGAAGTAACTATTATATAATTACTATTAATTATCATGTTATTGTATCCGTTCCGGTTCTTATTATTATTCTTCTGGATTCTTCCTCATCTGCTCTGGGAGTCTATGGCAGCTCTTTGAACCGTTTGCGGCATTTGCGCAAACTTTGGCACACTGATAGAGGACAGTCTGATCTTCAACCACAACAAATTTGGACTCTCTAACTTAAACTCTCTAGTGCCACCACTTGTCAAAAATTTCACTTATGTTTATTGTTATAACTTCAATTCAGTCCAAGATGTTTTTTTCCTCTGATTTCATGGTTCATGATGATTCAAACGCACCCTATAACATCCTGTCATGAAAATTGTCTTGCTATTTATAATTTATTTTATCAAAATCTAGTTTATCAAACTCGTTCTAGGCCGTGTGCCCAATTTTCAGATCATGCTGACCAAAAGTTATGAAATTCAAGCTGATTAGAGGAACCGTTTTTGACTTGCGAACAAATCTAACTAGAGCTTGCAAAAATGGTCTTGAGGCGATATCTTCATAATGCGTTGAAATATTTACACTGAAATTGGTGTGTTTTATGACAACTATGGTCTGAGGTTATCCGCAGCATTTCAGCAAACTGCCCCCTAGTGATCTGGAGATACAAAAACGTATTTATTTTTGCCTATAACTACTTAACCGATTGTCCCAAATTCATAAAATTTGTCTCTTTACATCTGATGGAGCATGCCGAATCCGATAATGTCTGATTTTCCCAGGTCAGCCATTTTGTCTGTCGGCCATTACATACTTCATATGTATTCAAAAACACTTTGTCTGATGCTCCTTACTAACCTTTTGGCCTCTGGACTGCTTTGCTCATTTTGGCTCTGGACTGCTTTGCTCATTCTGGCTATGAAGTGCTTGGCCCCTTAATTGCTGCTTGCAGCTATATTTATTTTTATTATTATTAAATAAGCAAGTATTATTATTAATGCATATATAACAGCTAGTTTTATGTTTTAAAATAAAGTTAATTTTATATAAAGTACAGCTCTCAGCTCTAATATTATCTTTAAAAATGTACACCTGCATACTACACATTTCATTAAACGCAAATCATAGTAAACTAATTTTATCAACATTTCTGTCAATGGATTTTACTACGGTTTATGTGAGGTTGCTTGACCAAAAAATGCTTATAAAATTTTGTTACACTGTAAAAACTGCTTGGTTCTACACAATTCCTTCAAGTTGTCCCAACAAAAATCTCAAGACTCAAGAATTGTTGATTCAATTCAATTTGTTTGTTGTAGTAGTATTTTTTGGAGTTGTAAGGTCAGCGTTGAAAAGTGTGTGGGATTTAAACAAATAGAACATAGAACTTAAAATATATTTAAAAAATATAATATTCACTTAAAGAATAACAATGTGCACTAGCAAACTAGATACATTTTGACTTCATATTGACAAAAATATTGCATAAGTAGGCTAATTGAAAAACTATTGTGCTCCAACTAATCAAAAATCTAACTGATTTACAATGTTTTGCTACAATTTCTTTACACATCTTTTAATGTCATTTATAAGTAATGTTTTCGTTGTTTCAATAAAAATTTTATTTGTGTTTTTACCGTGCAGTCAGCCTTGGTGATGTGCTTGGCGGCCGTTTTGGGATCCACCTCCGCCAGAAGCTCCTTCACCCTCTTCAACACGCTCATCTCCAGAGGTTTATTTTCAGGTGGCAGAAGAGTCGACTGGTATTTCCCTGGTTTGAAGGATGAACTAGTCTCCACCAGGGGGAGCATGAAGCCCTCCACTCCGTCTGGAGCTCCAGAGCCCAGGCTTTGGCCCTCCTCCACCTTCAACCTCTCTACGTAGCTCTTGCAGGGAGGAATGGGGGCTTGTCCGGGTCTCAGCTCACAGTAGCTGCCGCCTTGCTCTAAACTCTCAGATTGGTACCCATGAGCAGGTGTGGAGTAAGTGCTAGGGCCCGTTTCTGAGCAGGGAATGTTGTTATTGGAGGAGGATGGCGAAAGGTGGGGATCGCTGGAGCGCCTCATCACTGGAGAAGGCGGGATGACGGCAAGCACACGTCCACCTGAACCATGTCTGTGGCGGGAGACTGGAAAAACCATTCAAATAGCAGATTTAATTGGGTAAGTTAAGCCTTAAATGGCAAACATTGCTTTTGTTATATATCTGTATTGTATCTGTAAATATTTTTCTTTTTTTTTTTATCTGTAAATATAATACAGTGGTTCCTACACATGTCCCCCAACTGCCCCCCACCTCCAAACAACACTCCAAACAATTCTACTTAACTAAACACTCCTGATTGGACTCACTAGGTCACTGAAAATACTCTCAAACCCGCTGTATCTAAAATCGTCTCCTATATTCTTAAATAGTGCACTGTTTGAGGAAGCAGACATTTGTAGTGGTTTCTGAAACCACTGTGGACATTCTGTAGAGCACTCAATCAATCCCATAATGCACTGCAATGACAAGTGTACAACTGATGTATATTTAGAGGATATAGGGAGCAGTTTTGGATACAGCCCTACACAGGGGTCTTACACAGTGCAAAATGTGCATTGTTGGGGTTTCTTCAGCTGGTGTGTCAGCCTGGGGATTGTTATTTACAGATCTTGCAAGACCTGAAATGGTTGTGTCGAATACTGGGGGTTATGCAGCAGTGGTTTTGTACTGGGGATCAAAGGAACTCATTAGACTCCATGACCTAAACATGATCGCTGAAAGTCATTTTCAGTACCAATTTGGTTAAGGTGGCCTTAAGAAACAAACAATCAAAAAAAACTTGGCAGAAACTTCTCAAAAAATTGTATGGGTATCCAAAAATGACGCCATAGTTACCACAAACCATGGTTTACAGCTGGTCATTAAGCCAGAGGAGCTGAAAGTCAATTAAAGCAAGTGGAGTTTCATTTCTGATAGATGCTCTAAGAGGCTGACCTATCAGCAGATGACTGGGGCAGTTAACCAATCAATGCCGGCAGACTCATTAAATAAAGATCGTTGTAGTCCTCGATACACATTCAAACATTTCAAATTACTCTACAAACATTGTATCCATGTTTTTTTTTTTTCCATTGGAATTCAATGTACAATGAATTCCAGCAAAATGAACTGTTTGTTATTTATTAATGCATGACAGCACCGTCTGGTATTATGTCTGCATCGCCTTTTATTTTGAAAAACATATAACCCCCGTCAAAGAAAGTCTTCTAACTTGAGAGAAACGTTGTGTGCATGTGTGTAGAAGCATACAGTTTCCGAAGTGCAAGATACTGACGGTATGATAACCTTGGATAAAAATATCATGGTATTGTGATTACTGCTTCAAAATATATTCTTATAAACTTTTTTACCCTTTGAACACAATGTATTTTAATTTGAGAAAAATGTATAATTTTTCGGAGCAGTAAACATGTTAGGCTAAATAATTCAAATGAATCATTGACTTCTGCTGTCTTCATTAGTTTCAAAAACACTGAGTTCTTTACAATTTAAAATTGCATTTTTGGATATCTTTTCTGATAGGGATATTGATGTTCTTAAAAAAAAACATAAATAAAATATCTTACATATATCATAGGAATGGTATAGCAGAAAATTTGGCAGTTGTAAAACCTTGACTTTTCCAAATCGCGGTATATGAAAACGGTTATCATCCCATGTCTAGACATGACACGTCAAGGTTGTGAATTAAATTTTATGCATGCTTATGGCTTGGTCATTAAGTGTCATTCACTCGGTTAGGAACATATTATGAAGGTATTTTTGGTGCAAAACTCCCAAGCAGCTGTAAAAGTGTATTTTGTAGTTGTAAAGAATAGCCACAAATGTGTGTCTTTAAATCTGTAAAGGGGGTTTCGGTTTCGAAGTTCAGCCGCCGCAACTTTAGAGCGGTGACGTCACGCCCCCTGAATTTCTCTGAGAGCCCAAGTTTTGGTTGGCAGATACATAAGTTGCTTTTGCACCAAACATCACAGTGATGTTTGGTGCAAAAGAGCGAGAAACGTAGATTTGCAAGTGAAAAACAGTGCTTGACACTCTTAGCGGCAGATTTGAGCCGTTGCAGTAACATATTTGTGTTCGTGCTTAGAACAAAATAAATCAAACATTATACACGCCTTCAGCTCTCTTTGCGTGAATACACATTCTAATCTACAGATGGGCAAGTTTTGTCTCTGACTTCACATTTCTGGATGCAGGTGTTTGAATATGTTTTGCACCATATTCACTGCAACAGTAGTTGCAAAGAACATGAGCGGATGAGTATTTGTGATTCTTCCAATGGGATTTGTGCACCTGCATTGAAGGATTTGAACAGGTGTAAATGTTGCGTTGTGTTTGTTGGAGACAAAAAATACACACTTGCAAATTTGCTCTGCAAGTACAAATTTACTGATACACATTTGCAGATTTGCTCTGCGAGTACAAATTTACTGATACACATTTGCAAATTTGCTCTGCGAGTACAAATTTACTGATACACATTTGCAAATTTGCTCTGCGAGTACAAATTTAGTGATACACATTTGTGGCTATTCTTTACAACTACACACTACACTTTTACAGCTGCTTGGGAGTTTCGCACCAAAAATACCTTCATACATTATAAATGCAAAGATAACATTGTTTGTCATGACATCTTGATGTAAATTTATCACAACCTGTTTTTATCTTTGTCATTTCAGAGACAATAACCTATATTTATCAAGCTACATATGCTTCTAGTAGGTGTCAGTTTGCTTTAAACTTTTAATTCAGTATCAGTGTGATTAAATATTCAGGTACATGCATGAGAGTGCGTGGACTCACTGGCGCTGTAGGCAGGGGATTGAGGTGTTTCCCCCACAGGGGACAGTGGACAGCGGTACTCTTGGATCTGATCCATACTCATGGCACAGTTCCTCATGGCATCCTTATGGTGCACTGTGGAAGGGCTGGAAAGGACAAACATGCAATTAAATCCTGCTTTCTTTGACAAGACATCTTAGGTTTGGCTATATGCAGTTAAAGTCAGAATTATTAGCCTTTCTGAATTATTATCGCTCCAATTAAAAAATTTTTTGTTTCCCAATTGCTATACAAAGGACAGATTTTTTTTCAACACACTTCTAAACGTATTAGTTTTAATAACTATTTTGTAATAACTGATTTCTTTTATCTTTGCCATAATGACAGTACATAATATTTTACTAAATATTTTTCAAGATACTAGTATTCAGCTTAAAGTGCAATTTAAAGACTTAAGTAGGTTAGTCAGGTTAATTAGGCTAGTTAGAGTAGTTAGGAAAATGATTGTATAATGATAGTTTGTTCTCTAGACTATCAAAAAATATTTCTTAAAGGGGCTAATCATTGTGACCATAGAAAAGTTTTTTTTAAATTCAAAACTGCTTTTATTCTAGCTGAAATAAAACAAATTAGAAGAAAAAATATTATAAGGTATACTACCGTGAAGTTGCCCTCCCACCCAACACAAAAAATTGTGCTGCAAAAATATTTGTTTGTGCTGTTTTGGCTTTTGAGATTTTAAAATAATATTTGTAGTAGGTCATTCAGTGGTCATGCAGATGTTAAAATGTTAAAATATTAAAATATTACTTATTTAATTATGAGCGGTAAGGTCACCAGCCACCCAACATGCTCCAAAATTAACCAAAATAGTCTTGTTGGTTTGTGCTTTGTTTGTGCTGGTTAAAGTTCCAGTTGTGTTGTTTCCATTATTAAAATATTACAGATTTTATTAGTAGCGATGACATCACCGGCCCTTCCAACAAGCTCCAAATTGAACCAAAATAGTCTTGTTGGTTTGTGCTTCGTTTGTGCTGGTGAAAGTTTTGTTTGTGTTGTTTCTGTTATTAAAATATTACACATTTAACTATGAGTGATGACGTCACCAGCCCCCCAACATGCTCCAAATTTAACCAAAATAACCTCGTTGGTTTGTGCTTAATTTGTGCTGGTTTGTGCCGGTGAAAGTCCTATTTGTGTTGTTTCTGTTATTAAAATATTACACATTTAATTAAGGACAATGACGTCATCAGACCCCTGACATGCTGCAAATTTTAGCAAAATAGTCTCATGCTGCACAAACGAAGCACAAACAAACGAGACTATTTTGGGTAAATTTGAAGTATGTTGGGGCGGCTGGTGACATCATCGCTCATAATTAAATGTATAATATCTTAATAGCAAAAACAGCACAAACAGATTTCACTTGCACAAACGAAGCACAAACAAACAAGACTATTTGGGGTGAATTTGAAGCATGAGGGTGGCTGGCTGACCACTGAATGACCTACATATAGTGATTTAATATCTCAAAAACCAAAACAGCACAACAAATATTTTTGCAGCTCGAACGGAGCACAAAACAAATGAGACTATTTTGTTGTCGTTTTGTGCTGGGTAGGGGGCCAACTTCACGGATGTGGAAACCTGTGAAAAATGCCTTGCTCTATTTAACATAATTTGGGAAATTTTTGAAAAAGAAAACACATTTTACAGCAGGGCTAATAATTTTGACTTCAACTGAATAGCATTTTTGGGCTCTAATTGTGAATAACAACACATTGTACAGCTACAAGTCTACAAACATTCAGTGCTATTGTGATCCTACAGACAACATGCACAGAAGCAAGTGAAGGGTTTCCATGTGGCCAAATCTGTTTGGTAAACTGAGTGAGAGGGAGTAAGTGGGAGAGGGGGTCTGTGCCAGCTGTGAACACACACATAAATGCACACACACACACACACACACCAGCTGTTGCCCTCCGCTGGTTTCACCTCTGGCTCGACTGTCTGAGGCTCATCTGGCTGTGTAGGCTGGGCGGCACTGATAATACAAGACATCCTACATGAGCACATCACTCCTGCATCTTTGGCACATGTGCATATGACCAATTAAAAGATTATGCATCTATCAATATGCCCAATTTTAGACACCTGAACTGTAAGAATGCAACAGGATTAGGAGATTAATTTATGTTGGTTCTTGATCAAATATGATCAAAGGAAAATAGACATAATCAAAACCAAACCAAGCAAACAATAACATAACATAAGATATAACATGACAATAACATAAAATAATACTTCAGCCAAATGTTTAACAAAACATGTAATGAAACAAAAAATAAAGCAAATCTAGTTAAAGTAAATGAGACTACACACGGTGGTATTATTATTATCTCTAAAGTTATTTGATTGTTGGCGGTCACTATAACCCCTAAATAAAATAACTAAGCTAACACAAAAAAACACAAACACATTTTTTTAAAATAAAATGAATACAAAAAGCAAAAAATAAATAAAATAAATTATATATATATATATATATATATATATATATATATATATATATATATATATATATATATATATACAGTTGAAGTCAGAATTATTAGCCCCCCTGTATTATAAGCGCCCCTGTTTATTTTTTTCCCCAATTTCTGTTTAATGTAGGGAAGATTGTTTCAGCACATTTCGAAGCATAATAATTTAAAAAATTTATTTCTAATAACAGATTTATTTTGTCTTTGTCATGATGACAGTAAATAATATTTCACTTGATATTTTTCAAGACACTTCTATACAGCTTAAAGTGATATTTAAAGGTTTAACTAGGTTAATAAGGTGAACTAGGCAGGTTAGGGTAATTAGGCAAGTTATTGTATGATGATGGTTTGTTCTGTAGACTATCGGAAAAAAAATTGCTTAAAGCGGCTAATAATTTTGTCCCAAAAATGTTTTTTAAAAAATGAATACCTACTTATATTCTAGCCGCAATAAAACAAAAAAAGACTTTCTCCAGAAGAAAAAATATTATCAGACATACTGTAAAAATGTCATTGCTCTGTTAAACATCATTTGGGAAATATTTAAAAAAGAAAATAACTATCAAAACGGGGCTAATAATTCTGACTTCAACTTTATATATATATATATATATATATATACAACAATATAATAAAAAAAACAACAAAATAATATATATAAAACAAACAAACAAATGTGCCACTGTCCAAACACAAATATTAAAAAACACAAAACTGAAGAAAGCTTAACATATTCACAAAACATAACCAATTTTAGAAATGAAAAAAAAAAAACAAATGAAATAAATAGACAAACAAATAAAAAACATGTCATTGTTATTATGACTAAATAAAAAATATATGGTCACTAAAAACAATAAAACAACAAAACTAAAAAGCAAAATAAAAAACAAATCTAAACTAGAAACAATGAGTTGCGTCCAGAAGGGAATTTGCTGTGTGAAACATATGCCGGAATAGTTGGCAGTTCATTCGGCTTTGATGACCCCTAATAAATAAGGGGCTAAGCCGAAGGAAAGAAAGAAAGAATGAATAAAACAATGCATGAGGAATTAGTTCAGTAGTTGATCCATCCTGATATTACAAGGAAACAAAAATATTTTACATATTGGCAGAAAAGGGGCTAATTTGTATGAATTAATACTATTTCATTCATATAATAATAATTATAATAATCATAACAATTCATTTTATTTGTAATGCAAAGCTCAAAGCGCTACAAGGCAAAAACAAAACAGTAAAAACAATAAATAGGAAAATATAACAATAAGTTAGATAACAATAGATAACACCTTAAAAACATTACTAAAGAGGTGAGTCTTAAGAAGCTTCCTAAAACAGTCCAGAGAAACGACATTCCTAATGGTAATGGCTAATGCATTCCATAATATCGGCACACGGTATAAAAAAGTAATACCACCTATGGTGTTGTTTGAAAACATAACATTTTAAAAAGATGACGTGCCCCCAAACCCCTAAGCTTAACTGTCATTGGGGGATGAGCAAATTGTATCAAAATATATGAAACAAAATCATACAAATTCATACGAATTAGCCTCTAAATCAAAAAGTTATGAATTTCCGTGAGATAATGTAGGTTATAGATAATGTCTGCTGAAGGTCTACCTGTGAGGAATGATCTTCTCTGTCGTGAGTCCATCTGTCATAGTAACACTGCGTCTTTTGATATGCGCCCCCCTCTGGGCAGATGGTGAATATGCAGATCCAGGTCTTCCTCCAGCTAAAGCAAACGTGGCCTCCAGGTACCTCAGTGGCAGCGTTCGGTTCACCGGACACAGCAGCTGGGCTCCTGTTCGTGGACACACTGCTCGACCTGTACCAGCGTGGTGCCTTACCAGCGTGGGGACAGAATCGAAGCTCTCATTCTCCAGCATGTACTGGATTTTAGTTTGTCCGCTTTTGACCAGGACTTTACTGATCCGACAGTGTATCACTTCTTGCTGCCAGCGACAGGTCAGGACATAGTCGCCCACTGTTGACAAGGAGTCCCGTACTAGGAAGTCGCCGCTGCGTAGGACCAAGGTTTCAGAGGCCTGTGTTGGAGAAAAATAAAATAGTGGGATTATTCAAAGAAATGTTGCAAGCCGGATTCAAACCTACATTTCTCAAATGGGCATTAAATCGTAATTATCATCAAAGATAATCAGCCACTTCTGACTTATACGTAGGGCCAGACAGAATCTGCGGACATCTGCTATTTCTGCTATTCTAATTCTGAGAATTTCATAAAAATCTGTAAATTTATGTGAAATGATTTTGGGAGTATCATAACTAAAAGCTCAGTATATGAAATAAAAAAATTATATCTTTTGAACTTTTATTTAAAGTCTACAATGCAAATCCATCTAGATCCACTAATTTGGTAAACTAAACAAGTCTATCATATAATATATCTACTAAAAGACAAACTATTCCTTTACAAGCTGTATTGTAAATAAATCAAAAGAAAACTTTCATATTAGTCAATAATATTACTGAAATTAATAAAAAATATGAATAAATATAAATTTACACACTTACGCAAGTAAATAAATAGACTTAATGATAGGCTAAAAATCTGCAGATCTGCGGATTTCTGTGTGTGCAGATTCTGTGTGGGCCCACTCATACGTTATTGAGCTAAATGGTGCAGAAATCTCTGATAATAATTAAAAAAACATCAATATTTACAATAAACCTCAAATATGATGTATTAATATCACGTCATGGAGGCCCACACTCCATTTTAGTGTGTTTTCTGTTTCATTTACTGATTTCGCATGACTGTTCCTTTGTATGAATGTTACTTATGTCATCATAAATGTAAAATAATTAAAAACAACTTTCAATGAATAAATAAATAAATAAATAAATAAATAAATAAATAAATAAATAAATAAATAAATAAATAAAAATAAAGTGCTGAACTTCATACATATATTTTTTGTGTGTTCACAACAAAATGTTTTTTATTTTTATTCTGATTTTGAATAGCAGAATTTTCATTTGAAGTATAACAAATATATAAATAAAAATTGTTATAAATTATTTCATTAATTTATTCATAATTTAATTAATTTGTTTTACTATTTTGTTTACAAGTTTAAGAGTTTTCTCTTGATTTCTTGAAAGACTTGATTTTCTTGATTACACATTTGAATACCAGACTTTGTCTAGAATCATGTTTTAAAATATTTATAAAACTATAATAAAATAGCCAGTATTTAACTGTTGATGCCCTGAATGTTTATGTTGGTTCCTATTTATTTTCAAAGTCACCTACAACAAATTAATTGACTTTAAATATCAAAAATATTTTTTAGAACTTTACACTTGACATAATTAAAGCAATAAAACATGCACAGCAAAATTGAGAGTTTTAATTCAACTCTGAGAGAGTTAATTTAGTCACACTTTATTTTGATGGTCCGTTAGTTGACTGTAAGTTAAATTGCATCTACATGCCAACTACTTCTCATTAGATTATAAGTAGACTGTTAGGTTGGGGTTAGGGTTATTGTAAGTTGGCATGTACTTGCAAAGTTTCTGATAGTAAGTTAAATGTCTGTTGAAGGAGCAGTATCAGTAGATATTTAGCAGACAGCCTACTAATACTCAAAATGGATAATCAAAATAAAGTGTTACCTTTAATTTTCAAACTTCATCAGTGTAAATATAATCCACACTGGCCAGAGTTAAATGAATATTTTCAACAGTGTAAACAATTTAACTCAAAAGTTAAATATTTATTTCTTGTTTTATCAGTAATTATTCATATACTTAAAAAATGCAATACATGCTATTCTAGTCTTGGATTATAAAACATTTAAACTTAATTATTGTTGGTTCAGAGCTTATTAGTTTCATTACAAACCAACCCCAAATCACATTTGAGAAAGAGAAAGTTGCAAATGGTTTTCGCTGGTTCCCAGAGCAATGTCATAAGATATTCTTAAAATACTGTTCACTAAGGAGAGCAGAAACACCTCAAACTTGTTATCCACAGCAATGTAGTAACAGTCAGTTTTGTTTTGACTTCTCTCCATGGCTAGAATATATGGTTGATTACCTACACATATATGTACATATACAGTTGAAGTCAGAATTATTCAACCCCCTGTTTATTTTTTTTCTCCAATATCTGTTTAATAGAGAGAAGATTTTTTTTAACACATTTCTAAACATAATTTTAATAACTCATTTCTAATACCTAATTTATTTTATCTTTGCCATGATGACAGCAAATAATATTTTACATATTTTTCAAGACACTTCTATACAGCTGAAAGTGACATTTAAAGGCTTAACTAGGTTAATTAGGTCAACTAGGCAGGTTAGGGTAATTAGCCAAGTTATTGTATAGCGATGGTTTGTTCTGTAGACATTTGAAACAAAATATAGCTTAAAAGGGCTAATAATTTTGTCCTTAAAATGGTGCTAGCCAAAATAAAACAAATATGACTTTCTCAAGAAGAAAAAATATTATCAGACATACTGTAAAATTTTCCTTGCTCTGTTAATTATAATTTGGGAAATATTAAAAAAACAAAGGAAGGCTAATAATTCTGACTTCAACTGTATGTCATACTACCAGTGTTAATGAGCTCAGGCTTTCAATAATTACACCAGTCAGAGGATACTGTTTACACTATCTATTTTAAACAACACTTTACTCTAAAACAGAGTAACACCAGGATTTTAACTGTGTAATTTTGCTGTGTGGTGTTATTACTGATCCGATTTTTACTTTACTCTATTTACAATATTTTAATCTAACATATTTTTGAACTGTAAAGTATATTATTAGTTAAGTGTGTTTCAACTGAAAAAAACTTATCTTTGTATTTTACCCACGTGCATTTTAAAAAACATTAAAGACACTGGACGTGCTTTATGCCTGTGCTCCAGCAGATGGAGCTACAGTACACTGGGTGAGGTCAGAAGTGCAGCATGGGGGCGTATCGCCATGGTGACTGGCTATAGTTTATAATAGAGAGGGCTGGAGTTTGTCTTTTCTGCAGCTCCAGCAGGAATACATTATGCTAATGCGCAGATGGCGGATCTCAGAGTAGAGACGGCGTGGGCTGCAGTTTGACGGCTCTATGGTGCAAAACACACACACACTTACAGAGAAACCCAAATAAATGCACACAAAAACAAGCACATTTACAAAACAAATACATAAAGAAACTACATCTAAAATGGCTAACAAAGTTTTTCCTTCACCTACTCATTAGTTTGGTTTATATATCGGTGTATGGACTTCTCTTTGACGTCCATTGTCCTCAAAAAAATGAAGTGTGTAATCATTATGAAGTTAAAATATATTCTTATTATTATAGTTTAACATGAAAAGACAACTGTAACTTTTCTGTAAGCTACCAAGGGGTGAAAACTAGTCTTTTCCTTCAGTTTATTTGAGTAATAGATTAGGATTTTGGGAAGGCTGATAATATAAAACTGTAAAAATATTTGTTTATTAACAGTTTTTCACATTTTTCAACTTAGTTTTTCTCATTTATTAATGGTTTTGGATTTTGAACCTTGATCTATCCTTCAACTTTTAATGCTGAAAAGTTTGAAAAGTCATTTTATTGACATTTTTATTAGTTTGAAGTTATATAATTCAATTAAATCCATCTTTATTTCTATAGCGCTTTTACAATTTACATTGTGTCAAAGCAGCTAGAAGTTGTTGTAAATTGAAATTGAAACTGTCAGTCCAGTTTTCAGAGTTGTAGTTTAGTTCAGTGTGGTTTAATTTTCACTGCCGAAAGTCCAAACACTGAAAAGCAAATCCATCGATGCACAGCTCCACAATATCTGATTTGGCGTTGTACGTTACAATACGAAAACTTGGTAATAAACTGCCGTACTGTTTTTGTTTTTGACTTAATTCTCTCTATATAATTTTTCCTGAAATGTATTGTTATTGTAGTGCGGGGCACAAAGTAAGCAGGTTAAATGTAACACGAAGTTTAAAGTATTTGCTCAGGGTTAACCATGGCATGCTTCCGAGGTTTTCACCACAGTGTCAGCAGACCTCCTCCTGCCAATCATTAAAAACGTTTGACAAAATTTGGAAAACACTTTTTGCAGCATAAAAGTATTTTTTATTATGGTTTATATTTTTTTATTTTAAAAGAATCTGTGAAAGTATGAACAGTAAGTGAAATCTTATATTGTTGTGTTTGCCGTCTTCTAGGCTAATAGATGACTGCTTGCCAGTTTTGAGGAAAACAGGACAAAACGGGGTTAGTTGTAACATGGTACTAAATTTAAGCCACACACTGTTGGACACCAACTAAAGCAACAAATTTTTTTTTGGAATTTTGAGTATAATGTTGAGAACTTTTTATATTAAAATGTTTTAATAGAAAAAAAAATAATCTTATTGTTAATAATGCAAAAAAATATGCAGAATTAAATGAAAATGAGCCAATTACTAAGGAAATATAGCTACTATTTAAAGTAAACTGGATTTTAATTAGTTTTATGAAATTTGTTTGTTTAAGCATGTGTTATCTAACTCTCTGTCTGTTACATCTTGCCTCGAAGGTGGGGTAAATAGTAACATTTTCACTCCTGGCACTTTTGGCAATACTGCACAGAAACGATAGTTCTGGCGATCATAATTTCAGTGCTCATTTTTAGGAGCCTTTGTGTGTTGTTGGTAAAAAAATAGGGTTTGTTTAACCTCATTACTTCATTATTTGGCCAAACCCAAAAGTGTTACTTTGTGCCCCTCTCCATTACAAGCTGCTATAATAGTTGTCAATAACTGTCAAAAAGTCACTTAAGCTGCAGTGTTAAATTCTCATAATCAAAAGTCCACACAGCAGAGATCAAGGCCCCTAATGCAAACCTTTATGGATAAAAACCTGTGAATCATGAAATACAACACCTGTTAAATCAACATTTTTTTTTACAGTGCATAGATGGTCTACAGTTCTTACACTCAACATGTGATTTATTTAACCCACATAAGCTGACTGAAAACATTATTTTGGTTAGCGTTACATAACTTTCGACTTGAGTTTTCAATGGTCGGCTTGACAAAAAAAGGTACCAGGATGATGCAACAATTGCTTTAAAGTATGAAATGAATGACTGGATTTTTACACAGTTTGCCAGGTTAGTGCTTTTAAGTCTTTTAAAGATATTCAGAGTCTTGTTTGAAGCTCTTCTTCTTGGTGAAGAAGTGTATATTTAGGATGTGTTCATACATCTTGTATGCGTTCATGTGGTATTTTTATCAGTTGTGAACTTGTGAAGAGCTTATGAGATGTGTAAAAGTGGTCCAAAGTGTGACAGGAATTCCTCCTTCACACATATCTGCTGCAAAGAGATGCGTTTCTTGTGTCTGTATTGAACTGTAATGTGCAACATCATGACTATGGCGTGGTTCATTTTGATGTCTTTGGTTTGAGTTGTGTTTATATTTCAGTCGAACCACACCAGAGATTGTTTGAAAGTGGAGTGAGCTCAAACTCTCCCATCACCTTGCAAAAGCCCAGGGCTCGAGGATCTTATGAGCTCAGGGCTCTCTTCCGAGACAGCATGCCAAACAAGCTTTATAATCAATCCTCAGCTGAGTGTGAACTCTTAAAATAACAGTCATAGGACTGACCTGTAATTTATTAAGCTTTCAGATTAATACAACTATTCTTATATTATGATACTTTTGTGTCTTTATTTTGGTGATCAAATAGGTATTAAGGTTTGTATGTCACATGGATGTCAAGGTTTTGACATCAAATGTTTTTTTTACGTTTTTTTGACCTCCTACTTGATTACGATTTGATGTTGTTTTGACATCTCAAGGTGCCCACTGGGGTGTCGGTCTGAATATTTAATGCTAGGCCAGAATATAAGATGAAACACAACATTACAAACTTCGATTTAAACCAATAAGTAATTAAAAACTGGGCAAAAAGAAAAAAATACTCAGCTGTGAACTTCTAATAGCTTATGTAGTCTCAATGTGATTTTTTCCTGGTACAATCATTGCAAATAAATGAAACTAAATTAAAAAGACTATTAGAAAATCATTTGCTTAAAGTGGTTGCTTGTACCTGCTTAATGTAGAAGTGTTTTGAAAGTGTAGGTATATTGACTATTTATTCACAGTATTTCATAGGAGTTGGCGGAGCTTATTTCATGGAATTAACTTGTGACAACTCTCTGATTGGTGGAATTTTCTCTACGGATTAGTTTTTTTTTGCACTAGTTTGTATATTAACACTACTGTTTTAAAAATAAGTTCAAATAATGTTGACCGAAGGCTTCAAAAAAACATATACTTTCGATTGTCAAACTTAAATCTGTTTTTAATGATGTGTAAGTTATTCTTCCAATAATTCTTTTCCAAAAAAAATGTGTTGTTTAAGTTCATTTTAAATAAGGAGTTTGAACAAGCAGTCATTTTTTAAGTGCAGGCATTGCTGTTAGGTTAAAATTTTGGCTGTGGTTGGCTCCAATAGTGTCAACACATGCAGCACTGAGGTGCAAATCTCCCCTCTCTCTGCTCTCCACACTGCCTTATCTGTAAATCTCCACTGTCCTAAAGGTGAAAAAAATAGCTCTAGCTGTGTATAAGTCTGCAAACATTGTAAAACGCACCTCTCGTGGAATATGGCCATGGTACCAGCCGTGGCTCCTCATGTCACTGCTGCTGAGTTTGAGTTCCTCCTCCAGCTCCTTCCTGAGTTTCTCTGGAGGAGACTCCAGCAGGTACTTCTCCTTGGAGAACTGCAAAACACAGAAAACAACAACACATAAGTCACTATTTCATGAACACGCATGTGATACAGCAATTGAGGAAAAAAAAAAACATTCTTGAGCAGAAAATTGTAAGGTTTATTGTCTCACTTATCAAACTGACTTGGCAATCCATATAAGGGATTAAATAGTCATTTCTTTAAATAATTTATGTAACATCTAACCCAGTTGCTAAACAAATGGAAGCATACAAATACACACTGTCTCGCCCAAAGGATAATAATGTCTTAACTGTGTCTGTTTGGACAACAGCGCTCTGTGTCCAGTAGAAATAAAGCTTAGTCTATGAGTGTGACAGTTCAAGCCAAAGGTCTTGACCGTCTGACACAGGAAAACTAATCCAAACACACGAGTCATTGTACTGGTCGATAAAAAAGCCAACAGACAAAGCTTAGGATTCAAAGTGTGGCAAGCTGTTTTAGCATTTAATCAATAAAATATATTAAGATCTATTTCCATCCTACTAGATGCTACTAATACTTTTTAAGATAAACAAATCTTTTCTATTAAGTACTGGTACTTATACATTTGGTATAGTGGTTATTTTTTAGATAGTACTATGTTTTAAAAGATACTTATTCATTGGACACTAGGTCTTATTCAGGTAAATCATTCATTCATTCATTCATTTTCCTTTGGTGTAAACCGCATTTTAACAGGGGTTGCCACAGCGAAATGAACTGCCAACTACTATGTTTTACGCAGCAGATGCCCTTTCAGCTGCAACCCAGTACTGGGAAACACCCATACACTCTCATTCACACATTCATACACTATGACCAGTTTACTTAATCCAATTCACCTATACCGCATTAAGTCAGAACTGCTTTTTTACTCATATTATTATTATAGTCAAAAAGTTCTTTGTTTAGTTCAGTAAAAAATCTTAATATTATTATAGTAAATAGAAATAGTTATTGAAGAAGTTCTTTATACTAATAAGTAAGTACTAGTATAAACAAGTAGTATCATAGATAAATGATAAATAAACATCATTCAGAAATTCTAATAAATAATAAACACTAAAACAGGATAGTACACTAATAATAAACACTAATATAGAAATAAAATCTTGTGATTAAATATTAGTATCATTTAGAAGACATATACTAAAATGAAAATTAAAATCTATGGTTATCTAATAACAAGCACTAGAGTATTTTGATTTAATCATTCATTCATTCATTCATTTTCTTTTCGGCTTAGTCCCTTTATTAATCCGGGGTCGCCACAGCGGATTGAACTGCACCAGTTCAGATTGTACCTACTGCACCACTGCATCGCCCATTCTGATTTAGTATTGGTATTTAAAAATAAATGCTAGAAAAAAATATTCACTAGTCATAATGGGAAAATGTACTGAAAAGTTCATATCTGGATGTCAGGTCCTCATATAAGTCAAGTGTTAGAAACATTTTAAAATTTGTTATTACAGGGTGTCCGCAAGGTCTTAAAAATTAAATAAATGTCTTAAATTTCAAAAATCACAATTCTCTGCTTTAAAAAGTCTTAAATTCACTGAAATATTGTCTTAAACCATTTTAAACGGGTCTTAATTTTCCTTTGTTTATGTAAAGCTACCCAATCGACCCAACACACATTTAATCACCAACAACACATCTCAATAAAACTTTTAGCAAAAATACTCACTAATATTATGGTTTTACTTAACCAATATTTTAACTGTAGTCTGTTGTGTAAACCTTTAGTTTTTAAAGAGTCTTTTTGAAGTTATGTTGAACAAAAAAGTATGTATTTAAATAAGGTCTGCTTGTTTTGACACATTGTTTAAAATTTGTGGCTAAGAAATGATTGATTAATTTTTTTTTGCTAGGCCATTAAAATCATTAGCGACTAGCCCTATATAAGTCTGAAATTTTTATTCTTTGTGGTCTTAAAAGGTCTTAAAAGTCCTAAATTTGATTTGATTGAATAACTACATGCATATATTAAATAGGCATTCTAATGAATGTACATTGGTATTTAATGAAGTAGAGCTAGTATCTAATTTGTAAGTAGCCTACTATTATCTTTTGAAAACTTCTCAGTACCAAAAAGTAAGTAATTTTGCTAATGAAATCAGCACCAGCAGTTAATGTGTGCATACAAGGATTTAATAGAAAATATACCAGTATTGTTAAATTAAGTACTAAAAAGATTTCAAGTTTTATAGACTGAATATTAAAACAGCTTGCCATATTCAGTCAGTGAATATAGGAGATGCAGAATCAATTCTGCAGTCCTGGGTCATGCTAATGGTCTCTTCCTCTGTGGTTCTGAAGTAAACTGATTAAACATCTGCTTCCTTTCTCTCTTCGACCGTCTCTTACACATGGGATGCAGGAAAAGATGCTAGATTTCAGCAGTCATTTATCTGGTTGTGTGCGCAAGTGTGTGTGTGTGTGTAAAGTGTATAAAGATAGTGAGGCAAGGTCAAGTGTAGGGAGTTATTGCTTTTGTCTCTGCCTCCAGGGGTCGAGTCCACCACCTGGGTCTAACCAAGACCTCTCCGGAATCTCATATAGGTGTCTGTAATTGTCTTTCACTGCCTCATGATGGCCACAAGGCATGATATTCTGGTCTCATATATTCTCGATTTAGGACCGCAGGGGAAACTCCAGTGTGTGAGTGATAACAGAGCCAGGCTGATATACGGAGTTCATATTGACTTATGAGAGGTGCCTTTCACAGGAGACTGATGACCCTTTTCCAATTTCACAAAAAAGTTTATTATAGTGTTTATTTGAGGAAGGAGTTGAGTTGTTTATGGGGATTTTTGCCCAGGTGGGATGGGACAAGGCAAGAGGAAAGCGAGATGAGCAAGACAAGATACAATAAGAAGAGATGAGATGTGATGAGAGAAGACGAGGGGAGATGAGCACAAAATGAGGCAAAAAGACGAGGTTAATTTAAAGAAAAATTAGACATGGACAGAAGAGATGAAGTGAGATATAAAGACATGAGAGGAAGTGAGGACAAGGTAAAGTTTCAAAAGAAATGAGGCAAAAATAGAAGAGATAGGTAGTAGAAATAGGTGAGAAGACACGAGCAAGACAAAAAATCCAAGTTAAACAATATAATGAACTGAGAATGTGATAAAATGAGGTGATGGATGAGAAATGACAAGATAAAATGAAATGCAAGAAAAGAAAAAGGATGAGAGGAGACAATACGAGGCAAGAAATTATGCCAAAATTGGATTCATTGAGACAGAAAAAGAGAATCTAAGAAACAACGAGATGAAGTGAGGTGAGATGAGTAAGACAAGGGATGAAAAGATGGAAAAACTGATGGTCTGAGAAAAAAACGAGACAAGAAAATTTGAGACAAAGTTTGGTAAGATGAGATGAGACAAAGCAAGAAAAGATGCCGAAATTGCATTGAGACAAAATGCGAGATGCTAAAAAAAAGATGAGATGAGGTGAGCAAGACAAGGGATGAAAGATGGAAAAACTAGATGGTCTAAGAGAAAAGAGACAAGAACAGAAAAGATGAGACAAAGTGAGGTGAGTTGAGACAAGATAAAGCAAGAAAAGATGACGAAAATACATTGAGATAAAATGAGAGAATCTAAGAGAATATGAGATGAAATTAGATGAGATGAGCAGGACAAGCGATGAAAAAAAGAAAAACTAGATAGTCTGAGAAAAAAAGAGACAATAAAAAAAATTGAGACAAAGTGAGGTGAGATGAAATGGTATGAAGTAAGAAAATATGCCAAATTTACATTGAAACAAAAAGAGAGATGCTAAGATGATAAAATGAGATGAGATGAAAAGAAAAGATGAAAACGAGTAGAGACTAGATGAGAAAAGACAATGCAAAATGAGGTGAGATAAGTCAAGAGAAGCCAATACGCTAAGATGCATAAAACAGGATAAACTGATGAGAAATGACAATTTAAAGGAAAGGTGAGATAAAAAATAAGATGAGATAAAGTAAGGTGAGAGGAGACAAGACGAAGCAAGAAGTTATGCCAAAATTAGATTCACTGAGACAGAAGAGAGAAACTGTGAAAAGATGGAAAACTAGATGGTCTGAGAAAAAAGAGACAAGAACAGAAAAGATTAGACAAAATGAGGTGAGATAATAAAAGCCAAAAAAGATGCTGAAATTGCATTGAGACAAAATGAGAGATGCTAAGAAAAGATGAGATGAAATGAAATGAGAAGAGATGAACAAGACAAGATGGAAAAACTAGATGCTGCGAGGAAAAAGAGACAAGAAAAGTAAATATAAGACAAAATGAGGTAAGATGAGATGAGAACAAATTAAAACAGGGCTAGGTAATATTAATAAAAAAGAGGTGTACTGAGCCAAGAAAGCAAGAGATGAGAATGAGAAGAGACTAAATAAGAAAAGACAATGCAAAAGGAGGTGAGATAACTCAAGAAGTCAAAACAAAGCATGACGAGATGCAAAAAATGGGATGAGATGAAATGAGAAAAGATTAGATGAAATGAGAGCGAGCAAAAAAAACATGTTGGAAGAGACAATGAGATGACAGCAAGTAAAGAAAGTTCATGACGGTGAGTCTGAGCTAGACTTCATCAGAAAAAGAATAGAGATGTGATGAGAAAAACATGAGACAAAGTAAAATGCAACATAACTCAAGGAGCGATGAGAATAGTTAAGGTGAGACTAGAAAAATGCAGTTATATAAGCTATGAAAGTAAGAGATAAAATGACACTGCATGAGAGGAAATGCACCTGGTAGACAAGAACAAAAAGACAGATGAGATGACATGCAGAAATGTGAAATAAGATGAGAGACACAAGAGCAAAAAAAAAAAAACACCTAAAAGAAAAGTGAAAGAAGACAGAAGTTCTGAAGAAGTTTTAGAAAGCAGGTATTGTCATTTCTTCAGAGATTCGCTCATTAAAAGACCTGAAGAGAGGTTGACGGAGATCGAGCTGCTTTCTACTTTTCGAGCAGTGATGTCTGAAGACTCCAGAGAGACACCTGGGCT